TGAGATCTGAGAGGGAGAGTCAGGATTTTGGAGCCTGTATGGCCTTCTGAAATTGGAACTTTTCGAAGCAAGTACGTCTTACATGAGTTGCTTTTTCTCCTACAGTCGCTTAAACAGAATTTTCAAGGTCTTCTACACAAGCCATCCTATTGCAGGTGATCCCTGGTCCCATCGATGGTGTGAGTAGTAAATTCTCAGCTACTGAATGTAAGTAAGATCCAGTGGCAATTCATGAGGGGTTAACACACAGAACTCAATTTTGTTTTTTTGTTTCTTTTTTTACCACCCCGACGTAATTCTGCCGTCCCGGACGGGGTATCTCGGCCACCAACGACGAGCTATGCCAATAACTATACAAGTATGTTCGGGCGGCCGATCATGTCATATGTGAGACGAGTATTGTGGGTCCTCGTTCTCGTCAGCGCCATCATGAGCGGTTGGGCCTCATTAACCCGAATAAGTGACTGTTATTGCTTGCTGCGTTGTCGAGCGAGGCTAGCCGATGACGCCCGGGGGATCGTCGAATCCACAGCCGGGAACTAAAGCGTTCTATAGTGCCAGATCTCGGTTAATCATAGCGGGTCAATCATAAGTGAGGAGCTTTCTCATGGGACGGATAGAACCTCACATAAATGTCTGTCAATGTAATGCCGAGATGTCGCGCCCTCTTGAAAAGTACCGATAGCTGAGACACTTGCTTGCATTGTACTCCGTTGTAGGCACGTACAGTGAGGAATTGGGAAGCGGGGAGGGTGCTCGAAGCCAAGCGCTCGAGTGACCCCGGATGAGCCTTGAAACCCGGTGGCCCGCCCTTCCCTATTTGTTGGCCATGCAAGGTACGGTCCTCCCCAAGAGAAAATTATGCCCAACACGCATGCTACGGCTTTGCCAATCCATGCACGGTATATGGCAGCCGCGGCGGGAACAGCATAGTGCTCCTATTCGCGAACTGGAAGTTATAGCGGCATGTGCAGATGGAAAGCTAAAGAATTCAATCTATATTAGCGAGCACTCAAGTGGTGCTAGCCACGGAAAACCAATGTGCCAGAGATTTATAAAAACTCGTGTCGATTTCCCAGTGCTATACTTGTACAACCCTCATCAGAACCAACGCTTCTTCCCACAGTATGCAGGAATGTCGGCACATAGATGTCATCCTTCTGTAAGGTGCTCAATTGCACCGCGTGCATATTGCGATTACCTTAAATCTGATAAATAGCTCAGTGATTGCGATTGACCGTACAAGTCACATCCAGCACTCTGTCATCCCCATTAATGCCCGAACCCCCCCGTTGCGTGAGGGAGGTTATTAAACTAAATTCAATTGGTTCAGAAGCATCGCCACAAGTGTGCTATCAACTCGGACACTCTTGGTCAGCACGGTGTCAGCTAAAGCACTGGTCCTTTGAAAGCAACTACCGTATGTATACGCATACGCGGTGCACTTCGGGATCATTATAAATCATACCGAGTCGTGGTGCCGGGGTGCGCCGAAGGCCTGTGTGGATTCCTCACTTCTAAAATTGCAGACCCCAAATACGAGAAGCTGGGTGTGTTAGAAGTTGGTCGGCGCTCCAGTCCTCCGAACCGCCGGACGGGCAGGTGCGCATCAGTGATATCCCACCCCTGTAGCCACAGTTGCAGCCTAGAATCATCGTGAATCACTCGACTGAACCATCGCAGCTCGCCTTCTGGGTCGCCCTCATGCAGATGATCGTGATCCCGGTAGATAGTATATTCTCATGGCCGCATCTTTGTGGAATTGAGCGCCTCCATGGTCTAAACGAGATGGATAATTCTGTGCCGGTAATTTAGCCCTTCCGTTCACGCATCGGATGCCCCGGGAAAGCCTACCGTGCCGTATCGCAACACTTTGGAATTAGCCAGCAAAATATTAAAAACTATTAAAAGAAACCATTTTTCGCAGACAGTGGTTTATCCCGCGATAAGGAGTACGGGGGGGTTGCTTTTGGGGCCCCAACCCCGGATTCCAGGGCGGTTGATCTCGAGACCAAGCATCCCTTGCGCCCTCATTGAGAGTCACATATTGAAATTGGGCCCAAACCAGGACAGTTCAGAAGAGACGAGGTCAAGCATTATGATGGCAGTGCTCGAATACCTGTATGCTATGATGCAGCACCGGTGCCCACTCTCCTCAGAGTTAAAGTAAAAAGACGGGCTCAGATCAAATGGGCCTGCCTAGTGGGATAAGAACTGCTTTACCACCTTCTTGGCACCATATCTTTCCTGTGGGAATTTGTGGCTCCTATGACCTGATTAGCCAGAGTAAGAAAAACAAATGCACGTATTCCGATCGGTCAGGGGATTACAGCACCTACATATTCCCACTGCCAGTGGCCTCAAAGGCAAAATACCCGCACTATCTGGTGATACTGGAAGCGGAGTCAAGGTGGGCAAGCAAAGTAGGCTCAATAGACGAGCCTAGTTCGCAATTGCTTTACAAAGTTAGATTTTGATGATTTGCAACAGAACACCGCTCCCACTCGTCCACAGGAAAGAGTTATGATACCCGTAAAGTTTCAATCTGAATCGTCTATGGACCCACACCTTGTTTGATATTCCACTCCATTTCAAGTACAATTAGTTAATGTGGTTCCGTGAACGAGCAAGTAGTAGCGCGGATACCACCAGAAACCCCGGTTCGGGGTCCTTCTGCAGATTCCGGCTTCCTTGATGACCGTATTCATTTGGACAATCCATTATCGATAAGCAACAGAGCTAAACTGCAATAGGCTTAGCTGGGCAAGTTGACGAAATTACCAACGCCAGCTAATCAGATCCATAAGTTTCAGCTTGCTCAAGCAATACCACGTCAGGTAAATATTATTCCTTCTTGACGTGTAGGTGTCTCGGACGGCGGAGATTAGAGGCCTCAAGGAGACAGTGGATTGTCCGAGTAGACTACAGTACTGGAAAACACGGCAGTTTCATACCGGCACTCTTTTGCCTGTAAGCTCGGTTTTCTAACCGTTGGGCTAGGTTGATACAGGGCTCCGCCCAACGGTGCCCGATACCAGCCTAGGGAATCCCAAGAGATCCAACCCAGCTCCTTTATGCATCAAAATCAGAATATTACAGTAGTAGTACACACATATTGGTACCATACTCAGATTCTGATCCGAACAGTTACCTGACCCACTCGTATTGCCCATCCCGCGCGCACAACCGGGAACCCAAACGTGGCACCAGTGCCTCGGTGGATGGACAGCCTGCCCCACTATTCCCTCCTTCCCCGATACCGAAATTTCGCAGATGTGTGCTCTATCAACGGAAAACTCTCGAAAGGGCCTCTCGGGTAGGGGCAAGGATTTGATATGCCCTGCCGGTACACAACCGCGATGACCTCTAAAGTCGAGAGCAGGTTTTTCCTCCAACAAAGTCCGCTCGTTGCTCGCCCCCCGCATCAAATAATCCCAAAAACCACCTTGTCCAAGGGTTTTATATATGCGGAGATTGGGGATAACTATAATTATTTCAAGAAAAGCATGGGAAGGAACCAGTGCTTCGCCTAGTACTGGGGGATATGAAAATTAGCGCTGCTCCTTCCAACGAGGTATGATCACATGGCGGTTATTTGGGTGTTGGTCAGGGTCAGGGGAGTCCACTTGCATTGGATTTGGCTAGTAGCGATGTTGCCGGTACCTGTACGAGCAGTCCTCCGGAGCTCCCTCCCCTTTCAAAATTGGATCAGCCGAGTAGAATAAGTGGTGGGATGGTTGCCCTACTGTGATAAGTGCTGGGGGGGTGAGCATGGTGAGACGAAATCGAGTTGAACTGTTCAAAATTTGGGGAGTGTAACCATTGAAACGGCCATCTTGGCATTTCTTTAGCAGGAGGAAGAGGTCAACCGAAAGCAAAAACTTCCTGCCCCAGAGACTTCACGAAATTCTGCTCGCTCATTGGTGGAACGACCCTGGAGCCAATGGGAATCAATTCGCCTCACTTACCCTTAACCCCTGCACTCATACAAACATGCCGAAGATGGTATCATACGATCTTGGCACCAAAAAGTCGTGAGCAATTAGGCACTTTACACCAAAATGGTCAACTTTACATGCGGAAATCTCTTCTTGATCGCTTCAATGAAACAAAATTCAAATTTTGCTAAATATTTCAGGGCCATGTGGGATTTGGTCTGATAAAAAAACATCAAGCTCTATCAATAGATTTTGAGAGCAAAATATCAGGAGCATTGGAGGTGGGCGAAAGGTCCCTTAAACCTTAGATTGGTTTTCCATGGAAAAGGTACTGTACTTTGAAACATTCTATAGAAACCCCTAAAGTTAACTATCAACGCTGCTTTGATTAATTCTATAATAATACCGGTATTATAGTGTTTTTGGACGAGTTGCAAGTCAAGAAGGTTGCTCATTTTTGGTGTAAAATGCCGAGCTCCCGTACTGATTAGCTTTAGTGTCAAGATCATACTCCTGTCGGGTGAGCCTTTCCAACGCCATGATATTGGCGAAAGCCCCCTTTCGGATACCATTGGCCGAGAGATATATCGTTGAATAAGCGAATCCTTTGAATAGGATCACCTTGCCTCAGGTCCAGCTCCATAGAACCACTTAGAATCATCACCTCTTCAATTCTATGATACACACCCAAATCTTCTATTGGGTGGGTATTGGTTGGGAACGGTACAAGTACTCTTAAGGTATTCATTTTTTAGGCAGCGGAAGATGCATACGGATTTATGTATGGGAACCAGAGGTTTTGGATGTCCGGCACCATATCATACAGTATATGAGAGGGGTTTTTTCTCATTGTTTGTTTCACCAATTGGCCAAGCAACAGTAGGCCCAGCTTGGTAGTGGCTCACAAACACGAGTCCTCGGAGCTGCGGCTGATTAAGCGAGAAAAACACTCTGCGCGAACCCCAGACGCGAACTGCCACGACGGTCTCTCCAAGACCGGGCACTTTCTTCACTCGCTAGCAACTTTCCCTCTATCAATTTAATCAAGAAATTACTATAAAAATGTCAGACATTGATGAAATGGAGCTTGATGAGGAGCATGCCGCCACCAACGATGTTGTCTTTTCGAGTGGACAGAAAGGGAAGAAACTTAGCAAGGCCAACCTGCCAGTAAGTGCTGGTGATACACTTCCTTGGTTTGTTATCGCTACCTCTTGCACATATACTGGAGGCTAATCTATACAATTATTTAGGGTGGAAAAATACAGACCAGACACTCTCAATGATGTCTCTGGACATGAAGACATTCTCACTACGAGTAAGCTGCACTCATTGTCTGACGCCGATGGATTATGCTAAGTGCGTTCGATCAGTTAATAAGTTTGTCCAAACAAATGTACATTTGCACCCCCCTGAGCCGTTTTTCCTTCATTGTGCTAATACATCTCAGCGACTTCCCCACCTGCTTTTCTACGGACCACCTGGAACCGGCAAAACCTCTACTATTCTTGCGCTGGCACGGCATATTTATGGGGCTCATAATATCCGCCAACAGGTTCTCGAGTTGAATGCTTCGGATGATAGAGGCATCGAGGTTGTCCGCGAACAGATCAAAACATTTGCATCGACAAAACAGATTTTCGGGGCTTCCACCAAGACAGATGGTGAACTTGGAAGTTTCAAATTGATCATCTTAGATGAAGCCGATGCGATGACTAGCACTGCACAGAATGCGTTGAGGAGAATTATGGAAAAGTAACGTGTCCCTCTCATCCCCCACGTGCATTCCCATCAATGATTGGAGTTTTGAACATGCAAACTGACATCACCTCCACGTTCCGCATAGGTACACTGCAAATACCCGATTCTGCATAATTGCAAACTATACACACAAGCTGAACGCCGCGCTCCTGTCTCGCTGCACTCGTTTTCGATTCTCTCCTCTTCCGATCGATGCTCTTCGCAGAAGGGTCGACCACGTCATCGACGCAGAAAAAGTGAAAATCACACCTTCTGCCGTAGATGCTCTTCTTCAACTCTCTCGCGGAGATATGAGACGCTCGTTGAATGTTTTGCAGGCGTGTCATGCTTCATCTACCCCATTAGATGACAAAGGCCGCCCAGACCCTACTGCAGAGCGGGAAGATATCACCGAAACCCATATCTACGACTGTATAGCTGCACCACACCCTGAAGACGTACAAATCATCCTCAAGACTCTGCTAAGCAGCGATATCACAACTAGCCTGAGAACCATTATCGATATCAAGACCAAAAAAGGTTTGGCATTAGCCGACTTACTATCTAGTTTGTCGGATGAGTTGGAAAGACTGGAGGTCCCAAAACAAACGAGGATTCTCTGGATGGAGGGTTTGGCTGAGGTTGAATGGAGAGTTGGAAGTGGTGGGAGCGAAGGGATACAGACCGGTGCATTGGCTGGGGCAGTTAGAAAAGGGGTAGCAGTCATGAAAAACGGTAGGTTGGATTTTAAGTATATCTCGGCACCTTACCTTAGTTTCAGAAGGGCTAACGTTTGATACATATAGGCAAATGATTGATGCAATTGATAAATAAATTTACGGGCGTTGGGGCTGGCTCTATTTTTTCTTTGGCTGGATTGCAGATGCACTTTGATTCCGTTACTTGCTAGATGGTATAGACCTTTAAGGCGCAACCGCCCTGTAATACTTATCAACCTTCGCAGCAGGTTAGCATCAATATACTGCTCACACGCAGATCGCCGCGTCCGCAAAGTTCCAATCCAAGTACTACTAGCCATCTCTTTCTATAATCCAGTTATCCAAATTGTGATAAAGTTCACAATATCCCTAGAACCATATCCGAAAACAGTTATCTAAAAGGCTCTTGGTGTTCCATTGTTGTCGATAGGTGTTGTTCTTGAAGTACAAGCTAGGGCATGAGAGCCTTATCTATCGACTTGGCCGTGCCGGTATGATATCATATCTCAGATACACCGGGGTTTCCTGTAAAAAGTCCCATACAATTTGGTACTTTACTGTAGGATACCGGTACCGGTAGCTGACAATGGTTCAAACTGAATGCCGTAAATTTATGGCTGACCTGATTTGGCGTTTTTGCCAAGGAAACTTCTTTGTGAACCTAAAATGATGTGGGTTCGCATGGATCCGCTAACCCGCTGTTCTCCAATCTTCTTCGCTCTACAACAACGTTCTCTCATACGCCTCCACAAGCATCTTGTGATCCAGTAGGATACGACCGACAAGATGTACGATTCCGCTCGCGACTGCTTTACCGAGCAGCAACAGCAGGAGCACAGAGAACAACAAGACCGAGAACGACAGCAGCAACAAGAGCAGACATCTCCAGTGGGTCCAGCGGGCGCAGACACCCCTCCACGTCGTCGGATAAGCACCGTTGGCGACCTCCTGAGCCCTATAGAAGACAAGAATGATGCGTTGAAAGGTAGCGCTAGCACTGAGACTTCTCCAGACAAAAAGGAGAGCGGTAGCCCAGAAGCTAGTTCTGAGACTATGAGCCCGGAAACACCACGGAAGGACACGAAAAATACCGGTACATCTAAAACCACCATCGATACTATCGCTGCTACCGCTACTACCACACACAGTGGGGCACAGATGGATAGTGATATTCCAGCCTCTGCTTCTGCAACGAAGGAAAATCGTGTCTCGTCGTCATCGCCAGGTGAGAGGCGAAAACGGGTTTCCAATGAGAGAGATGACGATGCTTCTATTCCGGCAACTTCTCGAGCCGGCGATAGGAGACTAACTTCCGATGGTTCTCATGGCGCCCGCAGGAACGTTTCTCCTAGACGCCGTTCTAGATCGCCTCCTGCGCAACACCAGCTCTACAAACGCCGGCCAACGTCTCCCAGCGGTCGTTACAAATACAGATCACCCCCTCCGTTGATCCCCAGGAGGGATCCTTCACCAACTCTACTTCTAGGAGACGATGGTTCGAGGAGCAGAGACTCTAGCCCCCCGCGGAAACGCAAGAGGCCTGGCCAAGCAAGCAGGTTCTCGGAGAAGGAAAAGGCTGAAACCAGGGAGAGACTTAGAAAGATGGAGGAAGAAATAGAGAGAAAGGCCAAAGAGGTCATCAAAGAGAGAGGTGTCGAGGAGGTTGTCAAGGCTCACTACAACGATAAAAGGGAATTAGGCAAAACCTGGCGAAAGACTGACTCGAGAATTAAAGGCCTTAGAAGCTTCAACAATTGGATCAAGTCTACGATTGTCCAGAAATTTTCTCCGAATGATGACTTCGATCCTCGCAATCATTCCAGAGACCCTAGTTCACACCTCGTTGTATTGGATATGGGATGCGGTAAAGGGGGTGATTTACTCAAGTGGAAGAGCGCCCCCCAAGAAGTTGGATTCTATGTCGGCGTTGACACCGCAGATGTCAGTATCGACCATGCTAGAGATAGGTATGACAGTATGATCAAGGAATCAAGGAGAAAGTGGGCGAGTGGAAGGGACAGGAATGGCCGCCAGATCTTCCAGGCCGAATTCCACGTGATGGATTGTTGGACTCGTTGGATCGGAGAAATTCCGATTGTTTCCAAGGTCGGTGCAGACCCCAATGTTGGCCCTGGCCAGTCAACTCGGATGTCGGCCAGATGGGGCAGCGGGGGAGGGTAAGAATTCACATCACACGGCTTCAACTACACAAAAGTTAACGTTTATTTCAAGTTTCGATGTGGTTTCAATGATGTTCTGCATGCACTACGCTTTTGAGTCCGAACAAAAGTGTCGAAATATGCTCCGAAATGTTTCAGGTACCCTGAAAAAAGGAGGCAGGTTTATAGGAACAATCCCCTCTAGTGATGTGATCTCGGCTCGCGTTCGGGGCAAACACATGCCCGCGGGCTCTTCCGAAAAGGAGAAATTAGACAAGTCCGAACACGGCTTGCAGGAATGGGGAAACAGTATCTACAGAGTAAGGTTTGCCGAAGAACCGCCCAAGACTGGGGTTTTCAGACCACCATGGGGCTGGAGATATAGCTTCTTCCTGGAGGAGGCTGTCGAAGAAGTTCCAGAATATGTTGTCCCTTGGGAGGCCTTCAGAGCGTAGGCAATCCCTCCTATTCTAACAACTTTTTCCCGCCGTTAACAAGATCTACCACTCTACCGTGCAAGGCTGACAATTATACTAAACAGTATCGCTGAGGACTACAATCTTGAACTAATCTACAAAAAGCCGTTCCATGATATTTGGAGAGAGGAGAAAGATGACAAAGATCTTCGTATCCTCAGCGAGCGGATGGGGGTTAGAGATAGGGAAGGGAGATTTGCTCTTGGGGGTGAAGAATGGGAGGCCTGCGGTCAGTTATGATTCACCTATTGATCTCCTCGAACACCTCCTTTGTATAGATGCTGATTGTGAATAGGATTCTATCTTGGTTTCGCTTTCAAAAAATCGTAGATCAATTTCGATGGGCTGGTGATTTAAAAATGTCCCAACCCCTTATTCTTACTGTGTTTTCTTTTTCCCTCTCATTTAAAGCACTGCAATTGTTCGAACTCTTGTTAGCCACGAGGTTGCTATCCTCAACCCGCTATGGTAGTTAGCTCCTGGCTCCTCTTGCCATATCTGTGCCAATACTTGAATTTCCCCTATAATACTAGCCATCGTATCTCAGTCCGCTACTATCAGAAACTTAAACCCGTTCCTCAATGTCACCCATCGGGGGGGCGTTCTGGAGATAAGTACGGTACCGCTACGCGCGTAGATATTTTCCGACTGTGTAACGGCAGGGAAAAGCATTTGGTAAGGACACCCTATCTATTCTGGAAGATTTAAAATTCCCTTATCCTGCACGATCCAGATACAGTACTTGAGCAACGTAAAATATTATATATTCACACCCTTCCTACCAGGGGCAAAGCATGATGACGAGCTCTAAATTTTAATTCCTGGATGAATATACAAGTACCGTACATCGCATACCACGCGATAATTTCTATATTTGCCCTACCGGTATTTGTTCGTATTATAATATTATGATATATATATATCTCGAGCTCAGTTTCCTCACCCCCGTTTCAATGCATAAGTTTTACAAATTGCGGGGGGGGGGAGAAGGGAATGAGAAATGAAAACGCAAGGCTACTCGCTGCGATTTTCTCCGTTGTACAGTACTCCACCGTAAATTACGACGGGAGTGGCGGAGCACGGTGGCAAGCATCTTTGGTCGGAAATGAAGAGTGGAAATTTGGACGGGAAAGCTGTAGTGGATACAGACGGACGTGACCAATCTGAACGTTCTGCCCAGTCACTGTTCGTCATGATTGACGCCGGAACAAAGGTTTTGGAGTCTAGCAAAGAGGTCTTTGTATTGGCAATTCTATGGTCAAGCCATAAGGAGGTTGAGAATATGCTGTGTTGTGCTACTCGTACTTCTGGCAGAAGAGCAGGGGGAAAGGAGCTTCCCCTGAGGTTGACCGGGCCGCCCGAGTATTTTCCGAAATGTTTCATGCTGAGGCCCTGGTGGGGAAGCTCTCGTACAAGTAGCAAAGAATCCAGATCCAGCTTTAATTGAGAGTTTCTGGTCATGCAAGGCCCGAAAGTGGTTGGAGGGTGAGAATCTTGGAAAAGATAAACAAGATCATCTACACTGACTAAGCGAGAGAGCTTCCTCAAGCGATTTGCTTTTCCCCTCCTCGGGCGAAATGTTTTGGGGAGATAAGTACAGTACCATATCATACCACTGAACCACTGTTAAGTTACCGGTAAATTGAATATCAATATTGTGGCAGGAAGCTCGAGTCATTATCGTTATTTTTGGCAAAGCTTTTTTTCCCATTCTTTACTGACTGGGAGAACTGAGGCAAAGAATTGGTGGTTGTCCAGCCTCTCTCTTTCACTCTCCACTCTTTTCCCATCTCGTGCTTTCCCTAACCTAACCAACCTTCCCTCCCGCCGCTACACTCTGCTTGGTCGGGCCACCCTTTTAGAACGACCCTACATCCTATACCACCTTGCTATTCAAGTATCATACAGTACCGGTACAGATTCATCTCTCCATTCCTCCCCTGACCCTGTCGTGTTGTTGACCTGACCCTTTCCCTTCCTTCACTCGAACCCCTCCCTCTCCATCTCGCTCCCGCCCTGTCCCGCACAGAGCCTGACCCTCCTCTCCTTATCTGTTTACCACAGTACCACTTGCCTGCTCCCTTTCTTTCTCCCCCCGAACTTCCCGTTCCCTCCCTTCTCCACCAGACACTCACACTCGACTGTAGGTTTCCTCCGATCTGTCGCCTTCAGCACGCAAACCATCATACATTGGAGTGTATCCCTTCCAGTTACCCCACCGCTTTTCTCAGCTGCTTAATTGGAACTGTGGCGTCTTCTACCGGTCGCTACCTGCAGATTTCAATCATCCACCAAACGAAGTTCACCCTTTCCCTCCTTCGTTTTAACGACTTTCGAAATCCATAAAAATGTCCTGGAAACTACCAAAGTCTCTAAAACGTTGCACCCCACCTCCTTCTTCCACTACCCGTCCTGCACGCTGTGCAAGTGATTTTAAACTCTTTGCACCGCTTTTCCTAAGCACTTCCCCCCGAGTCCCCAACTGAAAGCTTACTTTACCTTCACCAGAGCTTGCTAACCTACTATTTCAATGCTATAGAACTCAAAGAGACGCATCTGGGTGCTCCTTCAACCTCCCGCTCTTCCTCGACTTCCACCATCACCCCGAACTCGAATGCACAGGCTTCTACCTCCACTCTTGTCGCCAGTGATGGGACTGTGCCTGCTACAGCCACCTCTACCAACAGTGGCGATGCTGCTCCAACCTCCACCGTGAAGCCAGGGTTGCTTATTGTGACCCTCCACGAGGCAAAAGGCTTGTCCTTACCTCCAACACATCCGGCGTACAATTCTCAACGCCCCTCTTCCTCCTCGTCCACCCCCAACGGCACCCACTCGTCTCGCCCCGGCACTGCCAACTCCGTGGCCCACCATGGACATCAACGAGCAATGTCAAAGCTCTTTAGAACGTACTGTGTCTTGGAATTTGACAAGACTCAGGTCATTGTCAATGCTAACTCCGGGACTTTGGATTCTCCCATGTTCTCGGGGTACACAACTCAGTACAAGTTCGATGTTAGCAGAGATACCGATCTGAGCATCGGGGTGTATATGCGAAATCCCGGCTCGGTTGGAAGGGATGAAGACTTGTTCCTAGGAAGCTGCAGGGTTCAGCCGAGGTTTGAAGAGCCGACTGCCCCGCAGTCCGGAAAGAAGGGACAACAGCAGCAACCAACTGCGCCAGGATTTAGCGGTGTCGATTGGGTACCGTTGAGCATGTCTACTGGAAGCGTTAGGCTTGGCATCGAGTATAGGCGTAACCAGGATATGCCACTGACAATTGATGATTTTGAATTGTTGAAAGTTGTTGGGAAAGGTAGTTTTGGGAAGGTTATGCAGGTCAAGTCAGTCTAGTGACAAGCTTTCGTCCTAGCTCTTGTTACGCCGGGCTGACCTCTTTTCTCTAGGAAACGTGATACTCAGCGAGTCTATGCTCTCAAAACTATCCGAAAGGCCCATATTATCTCAAGATCAGAAGTCAATCATACCCTCGCAGAGCGCACTGTTTTGGCACAGATCAACAATCCTTTTATCGTTCCTCTCAAGTTCTCGTTCCAGTCCCCCGAAAAGCTGTATCTTGTACTTGCCTTTGTCAATGGGGGAGAGTTGTTTCACCATCTTCAGAGGGAAGGAAAATTTGAGATCAATCGCTCGAGATTTTATACCGCAGAGTTGTTGTGCGCATTAGAGTGTTTGCATGGGTTCAACGTCATCTATAGAGATCTGAAACCCGAGAACATTTTGCTAGATTACACAGGCCATATCGCCTTGTGCGATTTCGGCCTTTGCAAGCTGAACATGAAGGAGGCTGACACGACAAACAGTTTGTTCACCAGCTCTGCTTATAAAGACTTTCATACTGATTACGCGTGTCTTTAGCATTCTGCGGAACACCGGAATATTTGGCACCAGAGCTTCTCCTTGGACACGGTTACACCAAGACTGTTGATTGGTGGACACTCGGTGTCTTGTTGTATGAAATGTTGACAGGATTACCACCATTCTACGATGAAAACATCAACGAAATGTACCGCAAGATTCTCCAGGATCCACTCCAATTCCCGGCCGACATTGATAGAGATGCGAAGGCTCTGTTGATTAGGCTCTTGGACCGTGACCCGGAGAAGAGACTGGGTGCCAATGGAGCTGCCGAAATCAAGGCCAATAAGTTTTTTGAGACTGTTGATTGGAAGCGCCTTTTGCAGAAGAAAATTCAGCCTGCCTTTAGACCAAACGTGGTATGTAGTAAATGTAAGAAATTGCGAGCTTGAGTGAGGCTAACATTCAGTCTTAGACCAATGCCATGGATACTGCCAATTTTGATAAGGAGTTCACGAGTGAGGTTCCTACCGACTCGGTTGTTGACGGTGACTTTTTGAGTCAATCAGTGCAACAGCAATTCACCGGATGGAGCTACAACCGTCCCGGCCAGTTGGGCATGGGTGAGCCCGGTAGTGTTCGCGACCCGGGGCCTGGTAGTGTGGTTGGTTAGATTGCGTATCTAGAAAGGGCACTTGTGTCGGATTTTTCACTCCTTTGCAGAAGTTAGATGGGGTTCTTGTAAGAGATGGATTATTTCATTTTCTTGTGTCTGGTGGGTTGGGTGACTACTTTGCTGGAAATGTGTTTTGAAACCTTTTTTCTTCGATATGGTGGGGAGGATTGAATTGTTTTCGGGTGTTTCATACTCAACAGAGCTACCTATACGTATCGTATGGTTTTCTGCGTTCCAGAGGAAGTTGGGTCAGGCGCTATTTTGCGTTAATCCTTGGTCGTCATCCTTTTATGCCATAATCCGGGGGGTTCTTTTTTATATATATATATTTTTTGGTCGTTGGGTTTCATCATTTTCTCATTTCCTCCCTCCGGAAAACCACCTACCTCTCTGTATTGCTTTCCTTCCTTCCTTCCTTCCCTCCCTCTTTTCTTATTCCTTTTCTCCTTTTCAATTGTTATCGAGTATTCCATCATTTTGTGTACGGAAATATTTCTTTTCTTTTTCCCTTCTCTTTCCTTCACCTTCGCTGAGTGAGATGAGAGGGAAATGAGGAGAGGAGAAGAAAACAAGTGATATTCGTGCAGTAAAACAGGCAATTCATGAGAGGGTCTGGCACAGCAGTCTAGGTGACGGATGAGATGGGAAGGCCTAAAGAAGTAGGTTTCTAGCTGTTGCATAACGTATATTAACAAAATATTGTTTTTATAGAGATTTTTGGTTATTGTTGCTATAGTATCAATACCGATTTTGGAGACAAAGGCGACAATCTGTGATGCGAGTAGCGGTAGGGAAAGTGCTAAAGTGGCCCTCCTAAGGGTGAAAGCCAAGGTGACCCCTATCTTATTTTTCCCGCTCGTGTGAACACAAAACACAAGATTGTCGATACTCGTACAGACGATAGGGTACTGTACAGTACTCGATCGAGTACAGTGGTACAAGTAGCTCCCCTGCATCCCAAAGATTTGTTGTGTCGCTTGCATACAGTAAATTTACTTACCGCACGTAGACCAACCGTTTCCCCCTCTGATTCTCTTCGAAATCATGCATTTACCACATAACAACTCTGGCATCGTCGCCTTACTCTTAATACTGTTTGTGTCCTTAGCCAAAGCCCTCGAGAAGCCCGGTACCGGCGAACCTGAGCCGTTGAAGTATACCCCTGGAGATCAGATTTCTGTGCAGTGCTTGAATCGGACGATGTAAGTTTAAGCTTTCCCTTTTTTTCTTCTTCTTCTTTTCTTTCGAAAGCTCTCGCCCTTCCCCTATCATGGCAACCACCACCACTTTTAAAGCTTGCGGCGAACTCACCAACTATAATAATAATCACCAGAGATACCGGCGAACATGTACAAGATGAGAAGACTGGAGTACTGCAGTATATCCCATTCGCAACATGCAACGAGACTGGCCGACCACTGGAGGTTAAATTTCTGGAAGACGGAGAGGTGAATTGTACCATACCTTTCTTGTCGGACGAGATGTTCCACCTTTTCGAATTCTACGTGCATCACGATTCGCCACTGGCTTGTCGAGTCCCCGTTCGCCCACTGGGAGGTGAACGGGACTTGGAGAAGAAGAGTGATGAGGAGTACGTTCCTTTAGGTAAAGTCCCCCTTCTTTCCACCCTCCCCCCTTACTCCGGAACAAACACTAAGGAGGAGGGAAAAACAGTCTTCGCCCTTGCCGGCAAACTTGAAACCTCACACATACATCTAGCAACGAACATGAACGTCCTCTTCCACCTAACCTCGCCCACCTCTGGCGTCATAGACTCGGGCGCGGCGTACTCCATCTCCCCAATGTCATCGGATCTGACGCGGATCATAATCGGCGACCCGCTCCTGCTCCGGCTGAAGGTTCACTGGTTCCACACTCTGTCCCCTCTCTCGGCGAAGAGCAATGGTGAACACGTCACCGTGCACTTGCTCGGTTACTGTCTGCTCTCGGCGTTCGCAGGTGCGTGCGGTGTTTACACTTTCCTGGTCGGGTGGGAGTTCCCGAAGAGGTTGCGGAAGTATGCTTTTGATCGTCGAGGTGGAGGTGGTGGGGCTGGAGGGATCATTGGGAATTTTGGGAATGGTGTGGGAGCTGGGGGGAGAGTTGGGTATGGCTATGCACCCGGTGTTGGTGGAAGAGGTGATGGAGGTGGGTATGGGTATTCGGGGAAGAGGAAAGATTAGGGGTTTAGGATGAGGGATTGTGATTGTTTATTTCCTTGCACGTTTGGGCCGGTTTACGCTGCGTCATGCGCACTGGTGATTTGCTTATTATTATGTTATTAGGTTAATAAAGGTCGGGGAGATGGTTGAGGCATAGGTAACGTTCCTCGCAGGTGTTTCGAGTTTTCTGGGTATGATATCACATCTTATACTGAGTCAGTGATCCCCCCACAGAAGTGGGCAAATTTGCATGCCTAAATGGCCCTGCTGTTGGAAGCCATCTGTCCACCAAATTCCACACTTCATACCAAATCACTCGGTATGCTATTCAGATTCCATACGGGCCGCTTGAAGGACCAGATGGGACACCCACCGTGGCCTACCGTGCTACTGGTGCCAGAGCCCCGTATCGCACTAATCAAGTGCGCTAGAATAGTTATACGGTAGTATGATACCACCTTTCGAAAGGGTCAAAACATTTCTCTCCTCCAAACCATCCTATCCTGCCCCCTTCTCCGCAGCACCGCACCGGTTCTCCACTGCAATCGTGCGCCCTCCTTGCCTGCGAGATTTCTTGGGTTTTGTGGCCTATCCTCGGGTCGTCACGTTGCTTCGCAGGTTTCTGATATCGATTGGGGTTCTGCAAAGGTGTAAGAAGTGGTGGTGATTACATGGCGACTCGGCTCCCTCATCCTCCTCCTCCCTCGTTTTGCCTCCTATCACCTCTCCCCCTTTCACCCCTAATTCCGGATTTGGAGGTACTGGTTCTCTTCCACACTATCTTGCCCCCTGAACGTGCTGCAGTGCGATGTTCTGTATCGATTTGATGGGACGGGATGGATCCTGATTCCTGATTTCAGCCCCGGGCGCATGAAATAGCTTCCGTGAAGGTTGACTGAGATACGTACGGGTGCATTAACGGGTATTGTTCTGGGGCTATTGTAGCTCTCGATGGTAGAGTGGTCCAGAAGAGATAGGGCACCAGTCCAAATGTGTCAAGACGTTGGAATTCCCATTTTTCCCGGCAAGGGGCAAAGCGAGAAGAAGACTGGGAAGGCGAGATGGTGGGAATACCTTATAATAATTAGCCTACTTGTATTGTACGAGTACATAGTTAGTATATCAGCTGTCACAGAAACATTGAACCGCAGGTTCCCCAAGTTCATCGCTTGGCAACTGACCTACTTAACTTAAATTAACTTACCCATTCACAAAGGGCGACTTTCAAACCCGGCGATAATGAGTTAAGTGAGTAAATCGTATTGATCGAGCTTTCCCCCCCCCCACACTCACCAGATCTCCGGGTAGAGTAATGTACAGTACAGTACTGCACAGTATGGCAGATTAAAAAAAGAAAAAGAAAAACAACGCACAATAATTAAAAGGCAATGTACGAATACCCAAAATAGCGAAAAAAGCGCTCTCCAAAGAGTTGTAATGCATATCCCAACCTAAAAAAATGACGTCGACAAAAAAGCTCGAGATATAGCCCTCACTGTAGGTAGTTCCTCAGCCCTAACAACACACACGCAAGAAACATCATGGTAAATCACTCGCTATGAAACACCTCATTTTCTTACCCAAATGCGTCTACGTATCATACACGAAAAAGCGCATTTCCGCATGAGGTATCATGCTCTCTCATTCTCACACTCTCTGTTTTGGTATCGTACAGGGTTCGAGAGAGGGGAACTGTACAGTACCGTTCACACAATGCTCCAGTTAGCAAGCGAACCGACTGACTGACCGGCCAATCGGCCAACCGACCAACCGGAGCTGTAGTAACATCACGATGCATGCACGATATCAATGTCCCCTCTTCCTCTGCAACCAACCCCGCCAACCACCAACTTGGCGGCTTGGTCGTAAATAAGCGCAATGAGGGAACTCTCATCACAACACAACTACCGTGGCCTACCTATACCTATGATAACTGGTTGCTATTGTCTAGGAGGGAGTAGGAGGGAGGTGTAAGTAATGTGAGGTGATCAATCAGTTATATGATGATGATGATGACGATGGCGGTGAATGGGTGGAATATGAGATGTTGAGTGAGTGGGTGAGTGACTTATACATATATGATGGGAGAAAAGGTTAGGTATGCTACAGGTGCATTTGGAGAGATATTACTCGAGTGTATATATACCGCACCACCACCACGCCTACCTACCTACCTATCTACCCGCCCGCCAATTCCCAATCGCCCCGCATTCAAAACACACAGCAAGCGACAACAAAAACTCATCTACCTTACCTAGACAGAACAATGACCGTCACAACCGCAACCGCAGCCACGGCCACAGCGACGACGACGACGACAACGGACAGGAGCTCGGGCGCCTACCAAGTCCTCCGGGAAACAGTCGACATCCTGTTCGACTACGCGGACAGCGAAGTCCGCAGCGTGCACAAGTCCCTCGCCGAAGCCAATGAGGCGGCCAGGAAGGACCTATCGACCGAGTACTCCGCCGGGGAACTGGAAGAGTACGAGGAGGTCATTGGTAGCGATGGGTGTGTACGCATAAATACCAGGTCACTCCCCTCTCCACCTCCCCCCTTCCTCCTCCCCGCCCCCACTTATGCCAAATCTAACGGGTATTGTAATAATAATAGTACGGCAGAGGTAGACCTAACCGTATCCGTCCGACACATTCACTGGCTGCGCCCGGCGGTGGTGGTGGATGTGGAGAATTATGTCTACACCGTCACCCGTACCGACTCCTCCAGCACCAGGCACGGCACTACATTCCTCGGCGTGTACAGGTCCGAGGATACGGCCAATGAGGTGGCGGAGCGGGAGTTGCGCTGCGCCGCCGGTATCAGGAATTGGCGGGATCGGAGGAGGTTCCGGGGCGGCTTTCGTGAGGGGTATGGACTGGACGGCTGCTTCGAAGGCGTCGCTACCGTGGGTAAAGGGGAGGAGGGAGCTTCCCGGGAGGAGGTCACCGTCGTCGTCGAGAGGAGGATTTTGGTGTAGGGTTTTTCTTTTCTTTGGGATGATTTAGATATCGATAAGATGGATTGGATTAGGTTGGGTCTTTTTTGCTTTCTTCTTGTTCTCATTATCATTGGAGTGATGGGTTGGGGGGTTATTTGTTTATGGAGAGGGTTTTTTTCTTTTTCTTTCTTTTTCTTTTTTCGAGCGTGTTTAACTTATGATATCATAGGATCTGGTGGTTATGTCTGTCCTGGGTGGAAAGCTTGTTGGCGCGAAATGAAACGAGTAGATTTCAAACATTCCCAATTCCCAACCCGTTCGTTTATCATACTCGAGCGATGCACTTACCAGTAATGTATAGTACCGGGGGGTTATCATAGCAGTATATCATATCTTGAAGCTATAAAGACCAAAATCGCCTCACTGATACCCACCCCCCCAAGTTACTGCACTAACTTACATATCCTTCGCAATATTAATATACCGCAACACACAATCTCACTCACGCCCTCCCTCCCACGCTGAACTGAAAATTTCCAGCACTGTAGAGCACTTTACGGTACACCAACTTGAGCACTTGGAAAAGAACCTCGCAATGCATCTATCTATCGCATGAAGAGTTGAAACGTCCAATATAATGTAATAGACTAACCGATCATCCCCAACGCCAACTGTTGAAAGAGTAGACAGACAGACAAACGGTGAACCTCGGATACGGGCTGATAACGCTGGTAACTATATAACATTATAATAATATGGTTAACAGGAGATCTTCCAACCATGGCGGGCGATTTTTTTTCTTTCTTTCTTTCACCCCCTCAGCATGCTATTATAACTCGAATAATTTCACGGTTGGACTTGAAGGAACAAACGAACGAACGAACGGCAGGTTCGTAACGGAGACATAGGTAGGCCCTTCTAGGGGATGCGCCGATAGTGTGTTTCAAGAACTTTCTACAAACTCCAGATTCTTCTACTTCTTATTCCAAAACAGTAGTAACTTCGTCCTGACGACATGCTATCTATTTTATTATACCTACAACAATCATAGCCCCCCCCCGTTCCTTTTCCATCCATCCCTCTTAACCACCCCTACCTACCTACCTACTTACTGTACCCCACAACGATAGCATATTTCCTTCCTTCTCCTCCTCCCCGCTACGAGAAGAAATAAACAGCAAGAACAATGGCCAACCGCCCCCGCGAGCCAAAATACTTCTTCACACCCCTCCTCCAGGCCTTGGAGTCAGAGCGCTGCAACAGTCTACCCAGGAAGTCAAGGCTTGTTACCGCGTCATCTGCACATTCTGCAAGGACCGCATGGGCTAGGAGGCCATGGACCCTTACGACTATGATTACGGCGACGGTGGCGACGAAGCGGACCAGCTGGGGAAGACCTCTAAAGTCCTGGGCACCTTCAAGACCATTCCGGAGGCGAACGCGGCTGTGGCCTAGGCGCGGGAGTTGATTGACCATACGCAGCTGTCCTTTTTTTCTATGGGAGGTTGTTTGGATGGGGGAGATATGATGCAATTTCGAGCAGAGTAAGTCAAATGATAATAATTCCCCAAGGCTTGTGCATCGTGGTGGCGATGCTGGATTGGCTAATTGGTGATGGGATAGTGGGACTTTGGGCGGCGCATTGCAGGTTTATATTCAGGAAATCAGCCTTCTTGTTGGCGTTCAGAACGAGCGTGGGGAATATGTGTGCCTGGTTTTCATGTTTGAGGATGTGAGCGCCTTTTCTCAGATCAAGGGCGTGTTTGAGTCGCTGGAGCATGCAAATGACTTTGCCGAGCGTGAGTTTGAGAGAATTTGTGCTGAGGAACCGAGTCAACCGGTGATGAAAAAGTTGGATTCGAAGGGCATGTTTCAGGGAAAGGTTGCTAAAACGGGACAGAGAGTTGGCGTCTTTTGGAGAATGGTTTTTTGTTGATCTTTAGATTGGTGTAGGCGGGATGGTAACAGTCTCTCATACACTCTTTGAAATTTTAATGTTATTAAATCCATCTCCCGCAAAAGACAAGCCCCCTAGCCTTGATAAAAGCCATAGCCACCCGTGATTTCCCAAAGCAGAAAGAAAATAGCTGACTTGACGGCATCCAAATCGAGAAGGAAGGGATCAAACAAAAGTCCCATCCGATACTTTCTTATATCCTCTACCCCCGAAGCCAACAACCACGAAACCTCATCGACCGCCCCCGTAGACCACCACCAATTAGCACGCCCTTTGCCCAGGAGAGGAGAAACATACCTGGAAAGAAAAGAAAAAAGATAGCGTCTCCCCAACAGAGTAATCGGAATCGAATTATACCATTCTTTCGAACAGCACGCCGCAAATTGCACTAAAGTGGCCCAACCCACGATCTTCGCTTCGACTCCCATAGCATCCTTCCCTACCGCCTCTCTCCCCTCGCCCCCCCCCCCCCCTACTCCCCCCCAGGAGAGAGAGCAGAAGAAAAGGAAGAAAGAGAAAAGGCACGAGAAGGCGCTTGATTTTCTGATGTCTTAGCAGGAATGAAATCATCCCGTACCCTCACGGGCCGCCGTATGTCGTAACAACGGTGTAAGTGCTTTGAAGATTACTCCGAATTTCTCATTTGCAAAGTAAATTGAAACAAAAAGGAAGCAAAAGGCAGTTTAAAACCTAGAGCTGATGCCAATTGTTCGTGTGTGAGCAAAGAAATGCGGCCTTGTGGAGGAGACGCTATGGTGGGAGAAGTGGAAATGGGGGGGTTGTGGGAGTTATTTATAAGGTCCGTTGGAGAAATGTTGTTACCCGGCTTTCAGGCTGCTCGAGATCTCCCCCCTCTCTATGATGGTCATTTCTTTGAAGGGCTCGAGGTGAGGGGGCATACAGTAATAGAGACGCCGGTATGATATATCATATTAATAATATTATGATAACGTTTTTTTCATTTAGGTGACCCATAATTAAATTCAGTCTCTATAGGGCTTCTTTGCTAATCTCCGAATTTTTTTGTATAATATAATCAGCTTTATTCCTGTAAATTTGGCCGAGAAAGGACCCCACAAAATTTCACCATGCGTCACTCGACAATGGGCATCCGGAAATTTAGCACCCAATGCTCATGACTCACGAAATCGATCCAATTTCACCTCTCTTGGTTCTCCACCACTAAATAAGATTCAACTATCGTAATTGAAGTAGTAAACAGCGCCCCCTTGGTATAAATTACATCAAATGAGCAAAGAATTATCCCTCCGTTCCAATGCCAACCGGCCAACAAAAGCAACTGCCCCCAGCTCCTCCACAATAAACCAAACGCCATCAACGTATGAAAGATCAAGTCATAAAATCAATCCACTCTCCCTCAATACCTTTCCGATCCCGCCTCTTAAAACTTCCCTCCGTTCCTCGGTCATCCTCAACTTCTTAACCCGCACTTCTGCAACTTTCTCAACCTCTTCTTTCATTCCTTCAACCATAGCTCTTCGTTTGGTGACGCAATCCGCAAGCAGAATTTCAGTTTCACGCTTCTTGCTGAGGATAAAGTCCCCCACTGCGGCGTGTTGCTTATCGTCAAGCTTTTTGAAGAAGTTAGACGGCTTAGACGTGTCGTGGGGATAGTAGGAGTTTGCCAGCTCAGTAATTTCGGTGGGTAACTGGGTTTGGGGAATCGAGGCGTAAGAGGCCGAGCGGAGGGAAGAGAGGGCTGAGATGAGATCTTGGTATGAAGCTATTGCCGTAAGCTCCGAGTCGGGAATCTACAGGATTGATTAGATACGATATGTTGGTGAGGAGAGGAGGGAAACGAACAAGTGGAGTAAAATCTGCGTTGCGATCCTGACTGGGACTCTTGTTTTGCTATCAAGCAATTAGTTCATATAATCCCTACGTGTCGCGCTCAGCGGAAACAAATACCTCGGCTGCTTTTGCCTGTCGCTCGGGAGCTGGCTCTCTCCTCTGCGGCCTATAGCTGTGCAAACGATCCTCCTGATCCTTTCCCAACATGCTCTCCCTACTTTCAGGCCTGCCGTTCCTATACGACAATACAGCACCCCTCCCCTCCTTCTCGCGACTCTTCTGCTCTGGCCACCCTCTAGAAGAAATAGTTGGGCTCCCGCTCTCCCAAATACCACCTAAATCATCCACCACCACCTCCTCCTCACCCTGCAGTCTCCCATCCCCATCACCACCCTGGGAATCGTCAGCGTACTCCCCAGCATCATCAAAACCACCCTCCTCATCTCCATCTTCATAATACTCATCCCCACTAGCATTTTCCCAAAGCCTCAGTTCAGTATTAACCACCTTCTCCTTCCCACTTTTTCCTGAGTTCGACCTCGGCCGCTCATCACCGCCCCTCCAGGGGGCCGGTGAGTCGCCGACTAGCGAGATTCTGTTGTCATCCTCGTACTTTATAGTGCTCTCGTCGAGGCTAGTAGTGTCCTCTTCGAAAACGTCATACTCGCTGCCCTCCAAGATCTGACGGAAGTCCGTGGACCGTACGGGGCGCGGGGTGTTTGATCGGGAGTCTGATTCCGCTTCGTAATATTCTTCCATTGTAGCAAGCTCGGTGGCCGTCACCTGTGCAGGAGGTACTGGCGGGGCTGAAGATGCGATAGGAGGGGGAGGAGGTGAAGTGGGCGGCTGGCGGGACGCGTTGTGGTTTTTATAAGAGGGGCGGGAGCGGGAGCCTATGAAGTTTGAAACGCCGGGAGAACTGCGGCGGTTGTTCAAAATTGAAGCATAGGATGGCAGACTGCTTGTGGAACTTGGTCTGCTCATTGTGTGAAAGGTGGGATAATACAATGGAGGTGGTTGGTGGGGTGGTTTGTGGTGCTTGATGTTCAAGATGTTGGATGGCAACTGCTGTATCAATATCGATAAGCCTCATTCGGCATCACTCGAAATGCCGTGGCTGCTATAGGGGAGCTTTAACCACCTAACCACCTAGTCTAACAGTGCTGTAGAGTATAATGCCCTACTTGTAGACCTCTTCGCGTTTCCAGTTGTGAGAGTAAGGACTGACACAGGAGCAATTCCTCTCACTAACTAGCGGGGGTCGGGCAAATACCATCAACCATCAATCTTGGTTGTCCAAAACAGGTTCTTGTAGGTTTGGTTCTTTGATCCATCTAAGGTAGCGGATGAGTAGGGGTTCTCAAAATCACTTACAACCACTACGTGGACACCCGGCGGGTTGAATAGTCTCTTGTGCCGGAATTACTTTTGTTCGATTGCCCGAGAGCATTATCGAATATCTAGTGTACAGTGCAATAGGAGGAAAAATAAAACTCGCTGGATGAATAGAGAAATAAACTCCGCCCGGCTTATCCTTACCTCAAACAATAAAAGAGAGACTTGTATGATAGCGTTAAAATTATAGGCAAGGAGGGGAAAAACTAATTAAGGCCTCTCTTTTCACTCTCGGAGTAGAAAATGACCATTCGCCAGACTTTCTTGACAAGAGTTTCCGAGTCTTCATCGAGCGCCTATCGCGGTATTAGTACGGGTGCGAATAAGTCCGGAGGGGCATATAGTACCATTTCTAACTCCTTCACTAGATCCTCTGCGGTGCCGCGTTTTCGGATATGCTCCAGAACAAAGTTGATAAGCTCTTGTTCTTGAACTCCAAGATACTGGAAAATGTTAACATAAATGTAACTGCAACGCAAGGGGAATAAGCTACTTACTTCAACAATCTTTTTCTCCACAAACGGTTGTAACTTTTCGTTAAGAATTGCCTCATCGATGTGATCCCACTGTAGCTTCCATTCGAATAAGCCCTTCCGGTCGCTTGGGATCTCTTGAGCTAGTTGCCTAACAAGCTTCTCCCTGGTCTCCTCATCCATAACACTAGTAGAATCGTACTGTATAGGCACGAGGACACGCTTGGTCTTCGACTCGTCTTCCTCCTCGTCTTCCAGCATTCCTTCAACTTCAGCAGCTGTTTTCCTTCTAGGTCCCTGTTCTTGTTTTTTGCTTGCAGCTGCGCCGAGAGCCAACTTGAATTTCTGCGGTTCCTTGATCTGAGCTGCCTTCTCCATTTCTTCGGCCTGTCTAGCCAAGAAGCTATCCGCCATAGATTCGGCAGCTCGCTTTTTGTCGATGTCCATCTCAGCCTGTCTGGCCTCAGCCTGCCGATCCCGTTCGTCCATCTCAATTTCCCTATTCCGGAACGCTGCCCTGTTGCGGATCCACATAGATCTATCAACGTAATATTCCTCGTTTTTATTTTCTGCCTCAACATCATCGTCCCACTCTGCCAACCGCTTGCCCATAGCTATCTTATCCAGCTTCTCCCTCCCTTCGTCCTCTAAATCTCTGGCTTGCTCACGCTCTAGAGCGGAGGTCCTTGCCCGTTCACGATTAAGCCAGCGCCGTTCGTGGTCTAAGAATGTCTTCTCTTGGTCCGCCTTCTTTTTCGCCTTTCTGCGCTTTTCCAGCTCCTCATCAGATGCGTCGGAGTCTTCTTCCTCCTTGCTGTAGGAGAGTCCATTTGCACCGCCATTGACAAATGCGACTCCCTTATGATAATCCCTGGGAAGTTGACTGCCGGAAGACGGACCGGTTGGGATTTTCGTCGAAGCGCCTGGGGTCCCCGAGTGATCCCGCAATCTTGAAGGCCCAATCGGGATAGCATTTGCCCCACCTGATGGCCCTGTAGGCGCCAACGGGGGTGGGGATGATGCAAGGCGGTTTATCCTAGGCCCGTGGTTCCTATCCCGCTCCATTTTTTCTATTTCTTCCTCCCTCTTGAGACGCTCAAGGTCTCTACGATTCGAACGTTCTCGAAAGGCTGCAATTTCCTTAGCCACCATATCACGCATATCTGCTGGAATATCACTCAGTTCGTCATCCGCTGAAAGGGGTATGGTTACAATTTCAGGCTGTGGGGTCGCATCGACACCGTCTGGCGCTGGTGTTTCGGAGGTCTTCTCAGGCGCTGGAGTTTTAGAGCTTTCGGAGACCTTGGGTGCTCGTTTAGAAGGGTCCTTGTATTCAGTTAGAGTAGCTGCGAGAGCAGCCCTAGCCGACTCCCGCCGATTCCTCAATTGTTGAGGATCCACCCGTTCTTCATAGTTTTCAATGTAGGTCACGGAATTATCATCAATGACGACCTATGAGAAGTGTTAGTAAATAAGTAGAAATGCCTCAAGGGGAAGATCGGGGTTGGAAGAATGATACCGTAAGCTTCTTAGGTTCTAAGTGCTCATCAATAGCAGGTACCTCTAAATCCTTGAGGGCTTCAATTGCGCATCCAAGACCTTCGGGATCTTCGTATTCAGCAAACCCGAACTTGCAAAGTTCCCCATTCTCATTTGTGGCTCGGGTCCATTTCTTGAGCGGCGCAACAGACTAAAAAGGGGGAAAAACGGTGGTTAGTGCCAAAAGCTTGCTCTAGGCTTCAATTCTTATGATTTACCTTCAAAATCCTCTCTATCCACTCATCTTCCAGGTCTTTTGGTATAGAACCAACAAATACCGTTTTGAGTTGCTCCTCTACACTTGGCGGTGCTAGATCCGCAGCAGCATCCCTTGAAAAGCCCTGCGAAGACCCAGCCCCGGACTTCGATGCACTCGAGGAGGACGGAACAGGATTTTGCCGCGTCACAGAAGTACCGAGTCTGATAATTGGCGCGTTGAAGTTAATATTCGGTAAATTTGCTGGCGGAACAAATCCTGGCATTCCTGGCCGAGTAGGCATGTTGGCCTGAGCCGTCCCCGGAGGGGCACCGCTAACACCAGGAGGGGGGGGGAGACCAGGTGCGCCCGGAGGACCAGTCCCGGGAGGCATACCGAAGCCCGGAGGCATGCCCATCCCAGAGACTCCGGGAATTCCTGGGAAACCAGGGGGCATTGTAGGTCGGCCGAAAGGTTCTATCAAGCGTCAGCAAAAGAAACGCGCAAATGAAGAAGAGTCTTACGCCCGTACGGATACATGGTCCGCGAGGTATTTGTAGATTGGAATGAGAAGTGTCAGGAGTAATATAGGTATGGATGCCTTGTGGTCGACAACTTATAACCGCGAGTGGTGGTGGTGGAGTCGAGAAGATGAAAGAGCAGAAGAAAGCTTGTCGTGTTAAGGCTGGGCGAAAGAAGTAAAACCCCAGTACCGGTATTTCTCTAGGTAAACCCAAATGGTGATATAGTGATTACTAAGCAATGATTTTTTTAAATTTTTTTCCTCCATTTGTTTCCAGTACTGTAGACAAACTTAAAGTTATTCCTCCCCATTTCAAGCAACACCTTTCTGCGTCCACCCCCCTCAGTACTATGGAGATCTGCCAGATGGCCCGGGTAACCTCGTGTACCCGGCTTCTTTCTTCTTCCTTTCGCACCAATCCTGTTTCCCGATCTACTCTACGGCAATTCACATATTCTGCTATTCGATTCGAGGACAAAAAGACCGAAACCGGGCCACAGACCCCCACCACAGCCCAGACGCCCCATGTTGCTGCTACCACTGATACTTCTACTCCCCAAACCACTACCCAGAGTGAAGAGTCTGATCAATGCGCTACACCAGCACAATCAATTTTGCAGCAACTCCTTGACATGGCTGGTGCAACATCTTTACGACCGCCTTCTCAACGTTCGTTCAAAGGAGGCAGCGTCCTTCCGACAAACATTGTTAGTCGCAATCCGCCGAACGCCCTCAATGTCCCACCTATATCTGCCCCGTCGAAAGAACTTCCTAGGACTGGATCGACGGCCGGCAGGACAGTCGAAGTTACCACCGATCTCTCATCAGCCCTCTCGAGATTACGGACAATAATCGCCCAGAATAAACTCAGAGCCGACCAGCGAGAGCAGAGGTTTCATGTTCGACCTTCTCTGAAACGGAAGAGGCTGAAGAGTTTGCGGCATAGGAAAAGGTTCAAGGATGCGTTCAAGAGATTGGTTGGAATTGCTATGGACATGAAGCGAAAGGGAATATAGTGCTTTGGGGAGACATCTGGTTTTTGCAGGTGTATGTCTTGAGGATGGATATATTATGATAACTCGAGAGAGGTTTGAGGGATATCAGTTATTGACGACTAGAAAGTAACTAACAATGCCGGTTTGTATCTTTTTTGCTGGTAGAGAAAGGCCAATTGCACATTTACTACCGGTAGTACCTACCTATTTCTCTCTTTTTCCCTCTTCTTTTTTTGTCACTGCAAATACTTTTGATGCTCTGTTCAAAATTCTGGGCATTTGCCACTGTATTCCAGCACCATATCCAGACTCGAGCACAGTTTTGATCCAGTCCCTTGTATTCTTCCCTAAATACTGTACGAGTAGTGGTCAAAATACAATTAGAGCAGGGTGCAGCGGTGAGGCTATGTTCTATCAGGTACAGTGAAAATAAGTTGGAAAAAATGGATATCATGGACATCCACAGTACCCATTTGTCAGTAAAAGTTACGGGTGCTCGGGCATTTTATTTGTTTTATCGCGGTCGGAGTCTCGTCTGTTGAGCCTCATTTCCCGACGTTGTCCGCTTCTCCTTTCCATGAACCGACCCCTGATGTTATCCCCTTTCATTTGATTTTGTTTGTTCGCCTCTTCCTTTGCGTTTTGATATTCCTGTTTGCCTTTACCATTTCTTTCACACGAAGCTGTCATTCCTTCTAGTATCTGGTTTCTTCTCCCTTCTCACCTCACAATCGCTATCCAGAAGCGAACTAAACTATGGCTCGTCTGGGAAGGTTAGGCTTCCTGGGACTTGCCGTCCTATTTCACTTGATTTACATATATTCGATATTCGACATATATTTTGTTTCCCCAATTGTTCATGGCATGCAACAATACCATGTTGATGCTCCAGCACCAGCGAAGAGACTGTTCTTGATTGTTGGTATGCAGATTCGTCTCCTGAATATGTTTTCGGGGGTGCAGCCTCAACTCTATCTGAGTGTACTGCCTCCTACATTCTTAGCTAAATTCTAATCTAGGTGATGGCCTTCGCGCCGACAAATGTTTTCAATCCCATGATGACCCGGATTATCCTTCAGAAAATCGCTACCTCGCCCCTTTCATCCGATCCAAGGTTTTGAACGATGCTACCTTCGGTGTTTCTCACACCCGCGTACCTACGGAATCTCGACCCGGACATGTAGCGCTTATTGCCGGATTATACGAGGATGTCTCTGCCGTCACAACTGGTTGGAAACTTAACCCAGTGAATTTCGACTCGGTTTTCAATGAGAGTCGGCATACTTGGTCCTGGGGATCACCGGATATCCTGCCAATGTTTAAGCATGGGGCCAGCGATGAGAGCAGAGTGGACGCATTTTCGTATGATGAAGAGATGGAGGACTTCACGGCTGGTACGATGTTGTTGAGACTTTCAGATTTTTGCTGGAGTAAAGCTAACACTTGTTTGGAGCTAAGATTCGACTAATCTTGATATTTGGGTCTTCGACCGCGTCAAGGAGCTGTTCGAATCAGCTGCGCGCAACAACACCATCAACACGATGCTCCGACAGGACAAGGTTGTCTTCTTCCTCCATCTCCTTGGCTTAGATACCGCCGGTCATTCCTACAGACCGTACTCCGCCGAGTATCTCCGAAATATCAAGGTTGTCGATGAAGGTGTCCAGCAGATCCATAAGCTTGTTAATGACTTCTATGGAAATGATGATAAGACTTCATGGATATTCACTGCCGACCACGGCATGAGTGATTGGGGATCTCATGGGGATGGGCATCCAGACAACACTCGTACTCCTCTTGTTGCATGGGGTGCTGGTATCAAAAAGCCGGTAGCATCCAAGGTACTGGAGGTGACGGGTCATGAAGATGGTTTTTCTGGTGACTGGGGACTAGGCGCTGTACAGAGAGTAGATGTCGCACAAGCCGACGTAGCTGCGCTTATGGCGTATCTTATTGGATTGAACTTTCCGGTGAATTCTGTTGGGGAGCTTCCACTAGAATACCTCGATGCAAATGCCTCAATGAAAGCAGAAGCATCTTTGGCGAACGCAAGGCAAATTCTCGAAATGTACAAGGTCAAAGAAGGTTAGTTCGGCACTTACCCTCATCCGCCTCTTTCATGGGAGATAGATTTATGGGCGAATGTGGGGCGAATGATGGTTCATGATGATACCATGAAGCGATCGTTCACTAATTTTAGCAGAACAGAAGAAGTCCACAACACTGCGATACACCGCTTTTGTACCACTAAGCGAGGGCAAGCAGTCTCTTGAAAGCCGTTTCGCAGAAATCCGGGGGCTTATCGATAGCGGATCACATGAAAGGGCTATTGAAAAGTGTGTGGAGCTAATCAAGGTTGGTCTAGAAGGCCTTCGGTACCTCCAAACGTGAGCTACATGCCTTCCACGCGAAAAATCCAAAGATAGCTAAATAGCCTAGGTATGATTGGCTTTTTCTACGGACCCTAGTCACTGCGGGGTATCTGGGATGGATCGCATTCTCGCTCACAACAGTTATTGACCTGCATGTGCTCCACGGAAGAACCGAGCCTACCCGAAATATTGGGAGCTCTATATTCTTCATTTCGAGCCTGGTGGCTATTTATTCTGTCCTTATGATCCAAAAGTCTTCCTGGACGTATTATGCATACGCCTTTTTCCCGGTCATGTTCTGGGAGGAGGTATATGCGAGGAAAAATTCAGTTACCGAAGGGACCAGGAAGCTTGTGGCACATCTGGACTCGCGGAGCGCATATATGGGGTTGGGTGCCGAGATAATCGGATTTCTTGTGTTACTAGAAGCCATAGTAGGGTCCTTTTGTTCTTTAGTTCCGGAGTGGGGGTTGGATGTGGGGATTGGGGCTAATGCGTTCTGAAAGGTATATGGATACTTTCACCGTGAAGTCTTTACGGGATGTTTCCTCCTTGCAACTGCCTGGCCCCTGCTCTATGGGTCCGACTTTCTCCGAAAAAACAAGTTATTGGCCGCAGGCTGGATAGCATGCTGTTGCTCGATGAGCACTTTTACTTTGCTGCCTGTGATCAAGCAGGAGAGTGAAAGTTTGATGTGCGTATATTCTTACGAAAAGGGAAGGAGATCTAGATATTATCGGGTCCTAACTACGATCAGATTGCTAGGGGGGTTTTTCATGTTTTCCCTGGGGTTGGTTTACATGACGTTCGGAGAAACTGCTGCCAATGGCAGTGACGGGGCCCAAGTAGCTAGAGGTCAAGATTGGGTATCAAAGTCCATTTTAGGATCCCAGGTATATTGCATCGCTCCCAGATAATTTAAACGAAGATAGGATGCTAGCGCTTGATATATTCTAACTCTGGGTACAAAGCTTGGGCTGCTTGGGCTCTCCATGTTTGTGACGAGATCCAGCGTCAGATCTCTGCAAGCGAAATTAGGTCTGCCTCTTGGAAACCAAGCTGTGGGGTGGCTTGTGCTCGGTCAGTTTGAATCCCACCCCACATCGCATATCGTGCCCGGCACCACGCTTCCTATACCCTACTTACCGAGTTTCCTGAAAACCGCAGTCTCCTCAATTGCTTGTCCGTTCCTGCATGGAATTCGACCCCAGAGCCATTACCTCCATAGGCTAATGGCCATCTTCCTCACCTTTTCGCCCATATTTGTAATCCTTAGTATTTCGTATGAAGGGTTATTCTACGTGATTTTTTGCCTTACGCTGGTTGCCTGGGTCCAGTTGGAGCACAAAATCCACCAGCACTCGCACCGAAAGATGCAGGAGTCTCGGGGATCTCGCAAAGGGGAAACGAAAGATGCACCGGGCGGTGTACCCAAGAAGGACTCAACGGCTTCCGCAGCCGAACCACTGACCCCGCATTCCCAAACATGGAGGGGACTAACCCTTGCTGATGCAAGGATCGCACTGTTCTTCTTCTTCTTGATTCAGGTGGCGTTCTTCGGAACTGGCAACGTTGCTTCATTGTCGTCTTTCTCTCTAGAGAGCGTATATCGCCTTATACCCGTGTTTAATCCCCTCGCAATGGGGGCGCTTTTGGTTTTAAAGCTGATGGTTCCGTTCGCGGTGATCTCAGCGAACCTTGGGATACTGAACAGGAGGATCGGAGTGGCACCAAGCTCTCTGTTCATGGTGGTCATGGCCATATCAGATGTCCTAACACTCAACTTCTTCTATATGGTTCGGGACGAAGGGAGCTGGTTGGACATTGGCACGACCATCAGCCATTTCTGCATATCGAGCATGTTGGGAGTTTTCGTCTCGGCATTGGAGTTCATGAGCGAGGTTTTTGTTGGGGGGGTTAGCATGGAGGGCGGGAATGCCATGCCCTCCTCTCCCTCCTCTCCTGCCTCGAAGGGTGGTGCAAGAGTTGAGAATGGGGAATCCACGAGAGGCTCGAACGGAGAGGTTGCCAATGGGGCCTCTTGAGAGAGGGGGGGGAAATATCATTCCGTTGGGAAAGGGTTTTATCTATCACATCTTGCCCATAGTGTTCATACCTGGTGTGCGTAATTTTAGAGGTGTGAGATATTATCACAGTTATGGTAACTGAGTGATATTTATTTATTTATCTATCTGTTTATTTTCCCCTTAAATTCCTCCACCTCACTCTGACGCACCGTATGTATGGCAGAGAGCTCCTTCTCCGTCCCTCCCTCCAGGCATCGCGAATGAGTGGGGAGTATGATAGTACAAGTAGTATCATAGTATGATACGAGCAGTGGATGATGGGATACGACATGATGGATACAGTAGGAGAGCTAAGCTCATCCCCTCCCTCCCGCCTCCCTACCCTATAGTAAACGGGGAGGGAGAAACGCTCGAATATCAGAGGAGGAATCCTCCCCCCGCCCCGATATAGACCGGCGCTACCGGGTTCTATGGTGCTAGCGCAGTACTGGTACGAGTACAGTAGTCTACTCGTAAATAGCACGGGTAGCGATTCATAGTGATGATTATTAAACCTTTTGCTTTTGCACAGCACCCACTTTCACATGCAAAAAGCAAAAGGCATAGTATCATGCCGGTACCTGTACGGCACTCCAGCATCAGGGGAAGGGGGAAAGAGAGAAAAAAACCATCGCCGCGAAAGATGAAGTGGAGAAAAGCAGGGGCGGGGGAGTGTAGGCTCTTGTACCTGCCTAAGTTATGGTTCTCGTGCTCGCTGATCGGCCATCCCGGGCCCCCCTCATTCTCTGGGGGCACTACGGTACTAGCCGATTTTTCTCTCCCAAGTTAATCATGCTCCTCCTCCGATTGTTTCTTCCCCCCACGAGGGGGGTGGGGGGGGAGCCATCCTTACACCCGTTGATCAACGAATTGAACGGTACCTGTCATGAGATTCTGTCTCGCTTTTTTATTGGGAAACGAACTATCGGGTTCTTTTCACGTGCCTTTTTTTTTTTTTTTTTTTTGTAGAGTTGGGTCAGGTGATGGTTGGGATGTAGACTATTTCCTGAGCGTTGATGGTTGATTTTCACATCGTGAGTTTGTGAACTGGAGGAATAATAATTTCGTGTGATATCCCACTTGTGCCTGTAGTCTACTTCGTACTTGTGCTCAAACACGGTGCGAGCACTGGTACAGTACTGTACTGTACATCCTCAAAGCAGAGGAAACCTCTCTCCCCTTTCATCTCCCCTTCTAACTTATTACCAGAAGCACCGGAGCACTTCCGATTTTTCGACGCCAATCAAACCGCCGTGAACCATTACTCGAGCATTAAATTTTGAGCCACTCTGTAGTGGCGGGGATTACAACGTTTCCCTTCCCCCTATCGCTCCTGCCCCACGACGCATGCGAAGGGGGGAAAAAGGGGAAGAAAAAAAAAAAAGAGGCTCGAGTCAAGTCCACCCTTGATATTCGGTTCACATGTCAAGAGTGGCCCCCTCCTCTACTTGTCTTGAATTGCGAAACCCTTTCGCGAAAATATTTACGTCTCGCGGGGCCGCATCATATCATATTATCGCAGCACGGAGCGAATGGCGGCGAATGGCGAGTGCTGTACGGTACTCGTACAGCACCGTGCCGGTTAACGGTATTCAGGAGAGTGATCTGGCTCGGGTATTTTTGAAACAGCGGGGTGTGGGATTTCGTATTTGTCCCTCCTTTTTCCCCTCTTCTTTCTTTCCTTTCATACAGTTAGGGAAAGATTTGTTATTGTGTTGATATTATACCCACATCATCCTCTTCTCATGTTTTGTTTTGTGGGGAAGGGTACAGGTACTCGAGTACTCGTACAGTATGCGCATCCAGGGAATGGGAAAAAAGGTTATTGTGCGGCATGTGGTTGTGCTGTGTGTGAGAATAGACTATTGCACACAGACTCCAGCGGCGGCTGCATAGTATGGCATGCGGTATGGTACTACTGTGCTGTGCGTTACAGGGCGAGGGGATGGACATGCTCGAGCTGAGTGTGGAATTGATAATTGATTTTGGAGTTATACAAGTATTGAGCACCAGTACCGTATGAGACAGTACTGTACCTGTCTTATGCCCACTATGTACGAGTACTGTACTCGAGCACTTGTACAGTGCTGGCATTGAAATATGGTGGTTGGTTAGTTTCGGGCCCGGGTACGAGTACTCGAGTACCGCATGGTATGAGAGGAATCCGTCCTATCTCCCTCATCTCTTATTGCCCATATGGGATGGGATGAGATGGGAGCATTGGTACTTGCAGATGGACCCATGGAATATCGCCGGATTGTTATGATATTCTTACTGCACAGCACTTGTTTGTGCCGCACGAGTTATGGGTGAGAAGGAAGAGACTTCACCACACCCTCCCCCCTTCCTTCCTATACGCACCACTGTTCCAACTACTCGAGTGCAGTACTGTACTCGAGTATCATACCTGTACCTGCCACCAACTCCCCCTCCTCCACAATGCTATTTATATAGACCCTAAATACGCTATGGTAACTCAGCATCTTCACTTATTCATTCATCTATCCACCGACCTGCACGGTCCTAGAAGTTTCTACTCCTTCTCCTTTAACCTGACATAATTGGGTGTGGTGCGGCGTTGTGGCCCTGCCAGCTAATCCCGTTGTCTGCTACTGTAGTAATGAGTACGGTACTGTACTCGTATTACTGACTCAGAGCTTGTTGGTTCTACTCATAGTACGGTACAGTACCGGTACTCGAGTACGGTATGCTATGACTTTCTTCTCGAACTTATTACTCCTACAGGTAACCCCAGGTCGGAGCATAGAAAGAGGGAGGGAGGGGCCCTCCATAAGTCTGGCTTATTTGTGACACTTTTTTGTTTCTATTTTCTTTTTCTTTTTTCTTTTCATGTTTGGAGGTTACATAGTCTAAGTCTCGCTTCGCTCGTTCATTACTTCGCACAGTCCAGTACCGGTACCAAAGGGTGGCATCGGACCCAGGAGGAGGAAGAGGAGGGAGAAAGCAGGGGAGCGTATCATAAGAGAAAAGGGTGGGGAATACCGGTACGGTACCGTAGGTGACAAGAAAGAGGAAGAAGTGAGAAATCAGTACTGTACGAGTACGATAATGCGAAGAAGGCAGCAGTAACTTGGAAGCAGCAGCATCAGAAACAGAAGGCAGGAAAGATCATCCACTCTCACTCCTCCTTCCCCCACCACTATTACCCACCACTCCGCATCAAACGGACCAACCAAGAACGGTCCTCCACCCCCCCCTCTCCCTTCCTCCACCCCATCTCTCCCCGAAACAACATAGCCTTCCCAAATACCAATACCAATACCCGCAAGAGTGCCGCTAACCCACGTTCATTTTTCCTCCTGTCTTCCATCTGTCTTGCGTGCTCCATAATTTCCCGTCAACTTTACCTTACCCTTTTGCGTGTTCCTGGCGCACCATTCTTTTTTAACCTGTCCTACTATAAGCATACCTTCGATACCTACCTACCCACCCTACCAACCAGACCATCATCGCCCATCCTTCATCACTGTCGTCACCATAGCAGCGGAGATTGTCCCTACTCCCCCCGCCATCATTCCTCTTTTACTGAAACAAGAGATTAATAGCCTTTTTCTTCCTCTTATCTTTTTTTACAATACCGATACAATAGCTCCAGCAAAGCTTTCATTGCCTCAATACAATTCGAGAATCGGGGAATGCTTCCTGAAGCCATGACGGAAAACTCCAGGGCTGAGAGTGCGGGTAGCGGTGTGTCGCAGTCGGCGTCGTCGCAATCGGGTGTGCCCAACAGTCAGAATGCTTCACATCCAAGCTTTCGGAGGTACGCTTCTTAAAAAATCTCCTTCACTCTCCTGATTTTTTTGTGATCTTTCCTCTCCGTTATTGCTCTCCTTTGGAGGAAAAATGGGAAAAGAGAGAAAAAAATCATGTCATGCCCCGCAAAGTCCCTTCCCGACGTCTCCATTTCCCCCAAGAGAGCAAGGAGAAGGGTTCAATTTATCCGGAAGTATTATTATGAGGGGAAGATAAGAGCCTTGGGGGACACAGCCTTGGACGCGGGATAATGGGGGGGAGTCAATAATTGGGAGTTTTTGTTGTCGATTTGCTGACGGGTTGGAATGGCCTTGGTTCTCGGCCCTTTGGTTCCTACAATAGGCAACGTGCGGCCAGAGCTTGCGAAGTGAGTGTCTAAAAGAAATAATGGAGATATCTGTGGGGCATTTTTCGTCGTTTTCGGATTATCGAGAGAGAAAAAGCCGCTGCTGTGGGGAGGTTGTTGCATTATTTGGAATGTAGGCTGACTTGGCTCCGATTGAGCACAGACATGCCATGCGAGAAAGGTACGATTAATTTCCTAGTTTTGCCTTCGCTTTTACACAAGAGTTTCCACGGGAAGCTAATGAGTGGTACAGGTTAGATGCGATGCCGCCAGCCTAGGTGTTCCGTGCACGAACTGCGTCGCCTTTTCCATCGAGTGCAAGATTCCCACGCCGAAGAGGAAGAAGGTTGCCGGAGCTACAAAGTCACGGGACGGTGATGATGAGTACGTTTTTAGCCTTGACCCGGTTGATCTTTAGAGTTGGAGATGGGGGCGATTCTGACGGTGGTCGTGGGGGGCGGGCGAGGGTAGGTCTTCGGAACGGCAAGGCTCGGTACAAGGCCCGTCGCCGTCGCCTGTGGATGACATCCGCATGAACTTCAACAAAACTCCGCAAGCTACAGTTTTACCTCACCAGGACGGGACCCCAAACGCAGGCTTTCCGGAAGCTAAATCGGCCCAGGTCGCCGCCGACAATAGGACCCTTACTCAGTTCATGAAGCCCAAGTTTGCCAGGGCTCCCATTAAAGAGGCTGGAAGGGTTGCGTATTTAGGTAGGGCGCGGCCGGGAGCGGTTATTATATGCAAAAATTAACCGAGACCTAGGTGAATCATCAAATCTCAGCTTACTAGTTCACGAGAAACATGGCACGCCGGACGTTGTGCATTATCCCCTGCCAGAGAATGTTCGAGGGTCTAGGGCTAGGTTAACAGAGCTGGACACTATTGAGATTGATATCCTCCACCAACGGGGTGCTTTCCTGTTGCCTCCAAGAGCTCTCTGCGATGAATTGGTCGAAGCGTACTTTAAATGGATTGCCCCGATTGTACCCGTCATCAACAGGAGCAGGTTCATGCGGCGATATCGAGATCCCGAGAATGCACCATCACTCTTGCTATTGCAGAGCATATTGCTTGCTGGATCAAGAGTGTGCACGAATCCGCAATTGATGGATGCTTCTGGATCTACTACCCCGGCAGCTATGACCTTTTACAAGAGAGCTAAGGCATTGTATGATGCAAACTATGAGGACGACCGCGTTACGATTGTACAGTCGTTGGTGTTGATGGGGTGGTATTGGGAGGGACCTGAAGGTTTGTTTAGCATCTGATGTTCACGGATAGTACGTGCTAACCTGCAATCTCAGACGTGACAAAGAATGTATTTTACTGGAGCCGCGTAGCTACTACTGTAGCTCAGGGTTCTGGTATGCATAGGAGGTTTGCAAGCGAGTGATATCTTGAGGGCCGAACTTTAACTAATTCAATATAGCGTTGAACACTCTCAATTAAGCAAAGCAGACAAAAGGCTATGGAGACGAATATGGTGGACACTCTTTACTAGGGATCGAATGGTGGCTGTTGCTCTTGGAAGACCAGTGCACATTAACACCGACGATTCGGATGTTGAGATGGTCCAAGAGGATGATTTCTTGGAAGACGAGGCCGGGTTCCCTGCGGAATACCCACCAGATCCCCTCCATATCCAATTCTTCCTTCACCATGTTAAGTTGTGTGAAATTATGGGATTGGTATTGTCCCAGCAGTACTCGGTGGCGTCCAAAGCGAAGAGGCAGAACGCGATTGATCTAATCCACAGCGATCTCGCACTTGCCGACTGGATGTTGCACGTGCCGCCAGACATGCGCTATCACGTTGAGGATAAGTCGAGGCAAAACTTCTGGGCGGCCTTGCTTCATTCTACTTATTAGTAAGTTGACTCTTTCTTTTTTCTTCTTTTTTCCTTTATCTGTTTCGTTTAAGGTGGATGCTGAAACGTTGATGTAGCACAACCCTGTGCTTGCTTCATCGGGCCCATATGCCGCCGGTGAGCACTGCTCCCAGCGGAATGGAGGATACCTCCTACCCTTCGCGGAATATTGCTTTCAGGGCTGCAACGGCTATTACTTCCATCATTGATAATTTAGCCGAACATGATCAGCTCAGATACTGCCCTGCATTCATTGTGTACAGTCTCTTCTCAGCCTTGATCATGCATGTGTACCAGAATCGTTCAGTAAACCCGACAGTGGTTGCTGACTCTAAGGAACGCATGAGAAAGTGCATGAGGTCCCTAAAGGAGATCTCGAATGTGTGGGTTGTAGCAAAGATGGTGTACACACTTTTTGAGTCTATTCTAGGGAATAAAGCCCTGGAGGAGCGGCTCCAAAAGTCTACCGGACGCCGCCATCACCCCCGGAAGCATCGGCAGAACCGGTCTATTAGGGAAAGCTCGACTTCTGCGGAAGCTCGCAGTACCACTGAACCCATCAAGAGGAAATTTGATGAGATGGAGATTGGCGGTCATCCTGGAAGGCCGGTGCCTAACATGTCATACGAAAGATCTAGGCCTCAGACACCAGCCCCAGCTCCAGGAAGCATCCAGAACAACAACGCGACGGGCATGTCGGCCCCGGGCAACACAACTCCGCACCTCCGACAGGGAACAGATATATTCATGGGTGGACAGAGCCAGGGAGGAACCCGCCCCCCTACTCCATTCCAACAGCCGAACGCGTCCGTTCCAGCCACCCCCCCAGACCTTTTCTTGGTCACACGATCTTCCCCACCAATCCCCCAAAGTTTGTGGGAGAATTTCCAACCGGGCCAGCTCTTTCCAGACGATTCTGGAATCTCATACCTATCACCGCCGAATCACAATAGTAATTCGGCGCTAGACCCACAACTAGCGAGCCCATCCATGCCATTATCACAGCATTCGATGAATCAGCACATGCAAAATCAGATGCAAGGCACGTCGCCGATCCCCACCAGCGGCATGCAGAGCACAGGCATCCCCCAACAGCCCGCCTGGCCGAGCCCATTCGATATTGATCCGAATGGGACCATGGGCCCTGGGAGTAGCCCTGAGGACACCTGGAGTAATAGCAGTGCTGACAAGATAGTTCCGACGACGTTGAATGTTGAGGATTGGTATGATTATTTCCCCCCTCTTCTTGCTCTTGGTTTAGAGACTCTAATGCCGGACGCGTAATAGGTTTAACTTTTTTGGACTAACCGGGGAACTGGGAACCCTTGGCGAGGATGGAGCGCCGATTTGAGGAAGATGAGTGATGGGAATAATAAAATGATTCATTTTTTTGCCATAATATCGCGGATCCTCTTTCCCCCTTTCCAGTTATTGTTCTACTTCCTATCGTTCGTTCGCTATATCCCCCCCCCCCGAAGGAAAAGGACATAAATGTGCTTTTGTTGTTTTCTTCTCTCTGTTTCTGGATGGGGGTTCCCCCTCCTCGTTCTCATCTTTGTTTTCCGTTTTTTTTTCGTCAGATGATCGAAAATTTGGAGCGAGTGAGTGAAGCAATGATGTACGGATGTATGGATGGATGTAAGATGTGTGTGGCCCGAAACCCGGTTGTTTTACCGTATGTACGTCCGGCAATGGGACGTGCTTCTTCGAAAGGGTGGATGGGTGGATGGAGTTTAAGTTGGTAAGGGGTGCGGGAGTTTTCCTTCAAGTTTTTTCCTTTTTTTTGGTATACAATTTAATTGTGAGGCTTATACCGGTATGTGTCTGTCTTTACGGTCGTACTGTGGGGTGTAATGTAATGGTAAACTCTTGTGCGCTCCTGCTGGAGCAGCGTATGGTATGATATCATATAAGAATGTCAGCAATAGCGTGCCGTATGGTGATATTATGATACCATAAAATATCTTGAAATCCACCATCAGATTGCCAACGGAAACCAGTCCACGATAGGTTTAGTTTGACAGATTACCAGAACCGCGAGCACCAGCCAGCGGGGACCCAGCACGCCCAATTGGCCGATCTTATACGGTACTGTATCATACAGCGCCCCAGGGCACATTGTTCTCCGATAATGTATCATACCGGTATTATAATTCAAGCATTAACTTATACCCTCACCCCATGCGTTGGTGTCAGTGGGGACCTCGATACTGCACTGCACATCACAAATCCTCACTCGCCCCTGCAAGTACCTGGTACGTATGATACCGTACGCCATTGAAATTTGAAAACCATCCACCCACCGGGTAGGGAGAAAACCTTTTCGATATCATAATACCATGCATTCTTGTGCACACCTCTCGGATACCATCCTTGGCCGAGACATTGACTACGGTACTTGAATAACCCAAATAAATTTTTTTTTAAAAATACAAAAATTATCGAAAGTGGCTCGGGGCATTTAGGTGCTTTTTCCAGTTTTTTTTTTCCATAATTTTTGAAACTTGGAGTGATTTGTTTTGAATTCTTGGCACAACTTATAATATCACCAAAAACACTTCTTTTAGGCAGGACGAGGAGAAATCCTTTCCGATTACGAAAAATTAAAATTAAAATTCTAACAGTTTATTATATTTGTATTTCCTTTTTTAATTTTTCCTCACAATTTTATGATTGACAAAAAGGCGTCACTTTTTCGATGGTATATTTCCTAGGGGGGTGGTATCCGAAAGGTTTGTGATGGTATTGGAAAGGTTTACCCGTTTCGTTGGGATTCAAGTGCTTGGCTGGTATCGTATCATACCTGTCTTGTCTTTTCTTCCTCCCTCTTGAGACATCATAAGCATAGTAAAGTAACCGGTACTGGTGTCGTTGTCATACCGAGCATGATATTGCTCGATCATCTCTACCAGTACTTGTATTATATTCGAGGATGTAATTCACTACCGGTATCCGATTCCGCCGTTACACGGAAGAAAAAAAAAAAAAGAAGAAAAAAAGTTATGATACAGGTACGAGTACTTGTATGATACCGGGGCCCTCCTTTACCGGTACTATTCGCCATTTTTCTATTAATTTCCTTTCTTTTTTTCTCCCTCACCTTTTCCCCCCTCACCCCTCCCCACACGCACAACAACCTCTTCCTGCTACGGTGCCGGTAGACCAACTGTACCGGCCACATTGCCACCCGACGTTATTTCGTTTCATTTTATTTCTTGTAAATGACCAGCAAGCTCCTAGCCCTCCCAACCGACATTCTCATCTCCATAATCGTGCACCTGCCCACGGCCTCGTGCCTAACTCACCTCTCGCAGACGTGCAAGTCCTTGCACGCCTTCATATCCGCCGAGGGCTGGCGCGTCTTCGTGCAATGCCAACATGCCGGCTTCCACGCGAAGGTGACCAAGGCGCTGCCGCACGGCAAGCCGGCTCCTACGTGGAACCGGTGGGCGGAGGAGCTGACAGTGACGCGCAGCAACTGGGACAACTTTGGCTTCCTCGCGAGCGGCCTGTTCGTCGAGGGCAAGTGGCGGAGCCGGAGGAAGAAAAAGGAGGAGGAGCGGAGGCTGGGTCTGCAGCGCCGGGCGCGGGAGGACGCGTGTGTGCCTGTTATCGACCTCTGGGAGGAGTGGGCGGGCGGCGAGGAGGTGCTTGTTGTGGGCGCTGGGGTGAACATGATGGTGAGGAAGAGGAGGAGGCATGGGCGGGGTGATGGGTGGTGGAGGTATGAGGGAGTTGGTGCCGGTGCCGGCGCTGGCGCTGGGAGCGGCAGGAGGGATATGGATGGGGGGGAAGATGAGGGAACTGGTGGGGTGGAGGGCGGCGAGGGTGGGGAAGAGCCGACCCTCTTTGAGATTTTTAATGCGAAGCATCGCGCAGATTACCTCCGCAGCTGCAGGGACAGCCAGCAGGATTACACTACCGTCCACCTTTTGGGCTCCCAGGGCCGGGAGAACGCCGAGATCGCCGTTGTCGGACGAGCTTCTGGCGCACTGGAAATGGTAAAATTGACCACGGGCCCCGGAAGGGCCGGGAGAATGAGTGTGCTGGGACGATTCGAGACCTCGGCGCGCAAGAGCGAGTGGAGTCCCAGGATGGGCAAGTACACCTCCATACTCCCGTACGCTGGTTCCGGGGACCAGCACGGCCTCATGAGCGCTGGTGCGAGGACCGGCCTGACATCGAGGTTTGCGCTTTACAGGGTGCGTATCCCCTCCAACGACGATTTTCGGGTAACGCCCGAGGCGCCGGTGTCGGAGGTTGAGATGAGTGCTGGCGATGGTGATATCTGGAGCACGAATTTGCTCTCGCCGGAGTATTTGGCCGTCACAAAGACTAATAGCCATGAGAGCCCTTTGTGTGTCTACGCAATTGCTCCGGATGGGATTCGGAAGAGGCCCATGATGTCTTTTCCCGATCCGTTCGGGTTCGGAGGGAGTACGGATGCTACCGCTACGGCCCGTTTGGAAAGTTTTGCGGGGGAGTTTCCCTCTGGGCAGGTCTTCTTGAGCGCGTGGTCCGGTGGTGACTTGAGGTATTATCTATTCCACTACTACTTTGCAGCCTGCACTTGAGGCTTGTAGCTAAGCCAACGCCGGAGACAAAAAAGCATGCACGACCTCCGCTCCCCCAATGAAACCGTCGCCCGCTGGGGCAGCTTCATATGCAAGCCCATCCGCTCCCTGCACACCCTGGACTCGGGCAAGTTCCTGGTGGGTCACAGTGAAGCCTGCATGCTCCGGGTCTTCGACATCAGGAGCAAATACTGCGACTTGGGAGAGCGCATCCCGATCGGGGGCGAATGGTCGAAATACCCGTACAGCTGGGTCACCAACTTCCAACTCCCGGGACGCTCCCGCCCGGAGCCCATGGACCCCGTGTTGGCGCTCGCCGTGTCGCCCTGGACGGAGAAGAGCGTGTACGCCGCCACTCCCGGCATGGTCTGGGAGCTGAACTTCGCCGGCACGATGACCAGAGCGCCCGAGCATGTTCCCGTCGCGCCGGGAGTGCCGGCGTGGAAGAAGATGTGGAAGCGCTCCAGGGTTTGGAGGAAGGCGGATGGGGAGAAGGAAATGGTTGAGCCTGTCACGCTCGCGGTTAAGGCTTATAACGGACTGCTGTGGGGGATGCATCATCAGCAGCCACCACGGAGGGTTTACCAGAGATATGTGTAGATTGGTGCTTTGTTTTTTGTTGTATTTATTAGATCACACACACACACATATATATATATATACATGTTGGCATGTTGTTATAGGTTGCAGTATAAAGTTAGCATTTTCATTGTTTTTTAATTGTACCGGTACTTTGTGCCGCGGCGGGATCAACAAAACAAGAACGTATGGTAAATGCAATAGAAATCAAGATCTTATAGTTCGAATTAATCATGGGCCGATCTTAAGCCAACCCCAGCAATTATTCCGAACCCCATCCCAGTTTCTAAAAAAAAACTTCTAGTATCAGACGCAATTAAACGAAAAGAGAAAACGAAATACCGTCCCGGCCACCGTCAGACAACAGTTTTGCCTGGTGCCTAAGCTTCAACTCTAGTTGGAGCTGGGTTATAGGATTTTGTATTGTTTTGGTGAGCCTCCCCTCCATCTCTTCCTGCTTTTTTGTGACCCTCTCTTCGACATGGCGGTCGTAGAAGACCAGCTTCAATAAAATCTTGTCAATCTGTTTAGCCTAAGGTCATGTAGACTAGACCGTGTAAGCCCTCAGCGAGGCGTAGCATGGCTTGGTCTATTACTGTACAGTACCGTATTAACTCGAGTTATCCACTATCTCCGCCAGGCCTTCTAATTCCCGCGCCCTAAAACAAAAAACCCTTAAGAAGGATTGGTGTTTTCCTCACAAAGTAAAGACTGAGTTTTCTGATTGTGTTCAACCCCATTAAGTGGTATTCGCAATTCTATTAACCTGTCCAACTGGACCGATCTTGGGCTGATGCCAGGATTGACAGATATTAGAGGTCTGGCGGAGATAGTGAATAACTCGAGTTAATACGGTAGGGTAGTTAGGGGAGGGAGTTGTTGCTGCCAGGTCTCACTGCGCCTGGCTGAGGGCTCAAAAGGTTTAGCAACAATCGACTGCCAGTGATGACATACCCCAATGCCAAAAGTCCCGAAGATCCACCTCATCCATATTTGGGGTTCTCGATTAGATCCTTCACTGGTTCAAGGCTCCTTTCCAAGCTCTTGTGCAATCGATCCTCAAGCATATTGAGTTGATCATCCGTCATGGTGATGAATGCTGGGAGATGGTTAGAATATTGCAAACTTGAAGGATTGTTTTTATTATAGTAAACATTACCGCTTCGGGTTTCGGGGCCTGATTACCGTGAGAACTCGAATAATCGAACCTGGAGCTAGGACGTTGGAGTTGCCTGTGCTGGTTAAGGTACGGCACTTCTTCACATTTTGTTTGTCTGAGGCAGGGACCCCGGGGGTCAATTTTCGCAGTGTTTTCACCCCCCTATGCAAGAGAGGAAATTTTGGATGTCCTAGCGCGAGGTTCAATTATTCGAGTTCTTACGGGTAGTCGGGTCTTGTGCATTCTCATTGGTTAAAGACTATTGTTTAACGACAAGGTAAGTACTATACATCACTCAACAAACACAATTGATTTGTACTTACTTGCGAGGAAAACGGTTGTAGCATACGGATAGGGTGAACGAAACTCGGGTCATGGAGGTGATGGAGAGGCCTGCAGTGAAGGACACGGGGTTGATATTATAATAAGGTATAGAGGATTAGAAGCAAACGCCACGCCGGTAACAGAACCCCACTACTCGTCGTGTCGTGACGTTTGTGAAATGGACTGGACTTGCATGGTGGTGCACAGGGGTTCATACAACCACAAAAGAGCCCTAAAACAGTTAGTTTAGAATATATATAAAGCAATGTGACATGAAAAAAAGTTATATATTAAAAATTAAAAATTAAAAATTAAGCATTAAAAATTAAACAATAAATATTAAAAATTAGAAATTAGAAATTAAAATTATTTTCTCTATCATCTGATATACAGGCTTGGATCCGTTCAGGCATGGAGTCGATATGGTGATTGACACATTCCTCAGGATAATTGTTCCAAGTCTATAATAGTATTAAATAAAAATATAAAATATCAAAGAAAGTGAGTTACTTCCTCAAGAACATGTCTAATCTGACGGCAGTCATTCTTGGCCCTATCTGATCTTGTAAAATGTCCTTCAACTCCGTCCAAATAGTCTCAATCGGATATAAATCCAGAGAATTTGCAGGCCAAATAAGTTTCCGAAACCCAAGCCTTTCTCGGGGAGTATCATGATAATGGTGGACATGTGCAGGAGCATTGTCCTCCATTATCATGATACCTCGTTCTGGAAACTCAGCCATGGCCTGCCCCGTAAATGGATAGAGAAGGGGGTTCAGAATTCGTTGACGGTAAATATACCAGTCAATTCCCCCCTTCCTATCAACCTTCCTCATCTTCAAGACTGGGTTTGGAAATGAGAGCTGTAATCCCAATGAGCTGGTAGTTGCATTGGCTGCTAGCTCAGATTCAAACTCTCGTTGAAGAGTTTGAATAGCTTCTGTACGCTGGTTTGTTGTTTCATATGGGGTTGTTGTCACGAACGTGGCTTAGCGAGGAAAGGGTTTTCATGTGACACATGGTTATGAGTCACAGGTATGTTATTGTTTCACGCATATAACCTATTCGGGTTGTATGATTAGTTATGTGTGGGATTTGTGATGCTTTCGCACATGGCTCAAGTATGAGTCATGGGACATGCGCCTGACGAGTATGCCTTACGAGTATGCCTTACGGGCAAGCCTTGCGCATATGATTTATGTTTCGCACATGACCTCATTATGATGTCATGGGTTTTGTGCATATGACTCAGTCAAGTCATATGACTTATTTATTGCGTTATGATTGGTTTATGAGTTTTGCACATGACCTTGTTATAAGGTCATGGGTTTTGAGCATGTGATCACTTTGATCACATAACTAGTTTGTTTTGATTTGGTTTTGCACATGTGACCACTTTAGGTCACATGATTAAAGGTGGGAAGAACACTATATAAGGAGGCCGAGGCGGCCGAGAAAGATAGGTTCTTCACGCTTTGTTCTAAGTACTTTTCCTCGTCCTTGCCGTCACTTCGCCCCAAGCGTTTCTTTCGCCATCATGGTGGGCCTTGATGCCTTTGATTCTGGGGGAGATATTTGAGTTCGCTCAGTAGTTCCTGGGGTCTTTGGTGTTGATGTCTGTTAGGCGTTGCGTTGCGGATAACTTGTTTGCGTCTTGTTTCGTAGGACTGGTTATCTCACGATACTGGCACTTCGAGCACTCATCACGGTCGCATACGAGCCCCTTTCGGTAAAATGTCTACGGCTTCCTGTCTATCGTCTACTCGCAGGTTTCGCGTTCGATTGGGGGGATTGAACATTGTGTTTGGGGGGATCACCCGTGTCGTTCTTTGGGCCAGCTCATGTCTTTTGTTGGGTTTTAACGGAGTCCTTAGTTCACGCGATACAAAACGCCCTTGGGTTAGACTGATGACCTTCCCAAGTATCAACTCGTCGTACCGGCCGCATCATTTCCTCAAGGGAGGAGGCCTCGCCGGCCCCTCCTTGCCTCGTTACTTTATGTTTCTACGGTTGGAATCCTACGATGTTGTTTATCACCGTTCCCTTGGAAGCTTTTGTCCTTGCGGCATATACGGTGGTTCAGTCAGGTGTCACCTCCTAGCTACTGTGGGGATGGCTTTGACCCTGAAAAACCTTACCCCCTGGAGTGGTTTTTCTTTGCTGCCTGGGGTGGTGTGGGACGATTGGCTGCCAGGCGCTCGCGTTGTCGGTGCGTCTGGGTGGTTCAGTTGTGGTCTGTGGTTGGCGGCTTCACCCATTGCAAGTGGGGCCTACCTTCCGTTTGTCTGCTTCTGTTCGTTCGCCCTTCCCCTTCTTGTCGCGTCAGTAGGGGATGCCTCTTGCCTGTTGTTCGGTCTGTGCCTGTTGCCAGACCTGTGGGGCTGGCTTTGGCTGGCTCTGCTTACTCTTTCCCGACTCGGTTGGATTTCCGTTCGGCTGGGTTGGATGGTATGGCTGGTGCCTGTGCCTTCGGGTGTGGGTGCTGCCTCCTTTGTAGCTCCTAGCTGTAGCTGGTGGGCTCCCCTTGGCTATATGGTGCTGGGAGTTGGGGCTCTGTTCGTGTGGCCAAGATCAGTGGCTGCCTGGTGGGGCTGGGTATAAGCTCTTCTATGGTCGTCGGATGGTTAATCTGTCTGAGGGGCTGGGGGGGCTGGATGGGCTCTGTGGCGTCTGGTGTGTGGGGCTTGGGGGGGGCTGATTGGGGGGGGAGAGGCACCTGCGAGCACCGGTCGGGCATGCGTCAGGTTGGAGGATGTCTAATTAAGTGTTTCCGGACCGGTTTGGGCTGCTGGGCGAAGCTGCTGAGTGCTGTAAAGCTCCCCGGCGGACTGCTGGACTGATGGCCACCTGTGCGGATAGTGGGTTGCGACCACCTGGTTGGACTTGTTTGGGTTCTGCGTACTGGGTGTTGTGGAAGTTTGTTTGGTTTCTTTGGTTTGGCAATGGGCATGGCTGGCAGGGGCAAGGCACCACGGGTGGGAGATAGGCCCCACTGACTATTTCGGTCTGTCACCACCTCTATGTATTTCCTTTGTTTATGGGCTTGTTTTGGGGGACAGGAAGCGGGTACAGGTCCTCCTCACCATTACGCTCCTCGGAGGCACTTGGCAAAGTGGATTTATAGGGTCGACGGCCTGGCATGCGGATGCGAGAGGTGGACATGTTGGTCACCTCCTCTCTGCCATTGTGTCGCCTGTAGTTTATAATTATTTTGGTTTGTTGTTAGTTTTCTACTGTGGTGGAGGTGCTGCGGGACGGTATTTAGACCGGGTGGTAGTGGTTTTAATTTGGTTGGACGAGGAACCTGGTTGGGTCGGTCTCTTGCTCGGCTTCGGCTACACTTGGTGCTGGTTGGCTTCATACCAGAGGGGCTACGGACTTGGAACTGGGAGGGCGCTGGGTTGTTTGATGGTCTTGTAATTAGTTTCCGTGCGGGCATGACTCGGGGATGGCAGGTGCGGGACCGTAGACTTAGTTAGCCTAGGATTAGTGGTATGCCGGTTAGCGGTATCCCTGTGCCAGCGGGGGCTCGTCATATGCCAGTGTTGGCGGTACGAGTTTAAATAAAATTAGATTGACTTCTAAGTACTTTTCCTACATATTACTTTAACAAATATAAAACACCTTTACGATCTTTATCCTTATTACAACCTTATCATTATGACAAGAAGCACTCGTTACGAAGACGAGTTAGAGAAAGCTTACGATAGGTGTTTCCGATAGAAGACAAAGGTCTTGTACTATCGGT